GTTTCAATATTCTAGTTTCACCTCAAGAACACAATGTTTTAGTCTTCCTCCCTCTAAGCCAATGGTTTTCAACCTGTGGTCCATGGACCACCAGTGGTCTGCAAGAACTAGAATATTGTCTGCGGCCTCATCATTATTATACCTTACTTACTTAGGCGATCCCTCGTTGGACGAGTAAGATGGTCTTCCATTATGCGTTTCCTTGTGGGTTCGTAGGTGGCTGTGGAGCCCTATTCTTGACCCGCATCTTCTCCCACAGTGAGGGCATTGGTTTCCAGGTGGAAGGCGGTCCCGGTCGGGGTTGGCTTGACGCGCCTTCCTCCTGGCACGTTTCTCTCTTTCACCCTCCACTCGTGCCTCCTCGAATTCTGCAGCACTGCTGGTCACAGCTGACCTCCAGCTGGAGCGCTCAAGGGCCAGGGCTTCCCAGTTCTCAGTGTCTATGCCAGAGATTTTAAGGTTGGCTTTGAGGCCATCTTTAAATCTCTTTTCCTGTCCACCAACGTTCCGTTTTCCGTTCTTAAGTTCAGAGTAGAGCAACTGCTTTGGGAGACTGTGGTCAGGCATCCGGACAACGTGGCCGGTTCGCAAGTTGATGGCAGAGGACCATCGCTTCAATGCTGGTGGTCTTTGCTTCTTCCAGCACGCTGACGTTTGTCCGCTTGTCTTCCCAAGAGATTTGCAGGATTTTCCGGAGGCAGCGCTGATGGAATCGTTCCAGGAGTTGCATGTGATGTCTGTAGACAGTCCACGTTTCGCAGGCATATAGCAGGGTTGGGAGGACAATAACTTTATAGACAAGCACCTTGGTATCCCTACGGATGTCCCGGTCCTCAAACACTCTCTGCTTCATTCGGGAAAATGCTGCACTCACAGAGCTCAGGCGGTGTTGTATTTCGGTGTCGATGTTGACTTTGGTGGAGAGGTGGCTGCCAAGGTAGCGGAAATGGTCAACATTTTCTAATGTTACACCATTAAGCTGTATCACTGGCATTGGAGAGGGGATGGCTGGTGACATCGTTATTATACCATTGCAACAAGAGTGATTGGTCTTGCAAAACCCTCTCATAGTGCCGAGGCTTATTAAATATGGTTTTCTGTGGACAAGCAGATGGGCGACTATTGGATGGCATATGTTCTGTATCAGAAACTAGAGCTGATGTGGTCTGTCCAACACAATTTTCTGAATCAGCACCCCCAAATTAAAAAAAACAAATCTAAAGTTGACCAAAACTAATTTGTACCCCTTTTGGTACTAATGTTGGAGAGTGATCCCTGATCAAAATGGTCAAACAAAAAAAAAGTTGGGAACCACTGTTCTAAGCTAAACACCATTATTTATATTATTAACTGATTTCATTTTGAATTTATTTTGTTGTGCTTTACTCACCTCTGCATGAATTTGACCAAATGGGCAAATGCAACAGCGTGGACTTGGTTGAAATTATTCTAGAGAATCAATAATGTAATTTTGTTATGTGACAGCATGAAATGTTTGGGTACACAAATTAATTTTCCTGTTCACAAAGTCTCTTCTCATGTGCTCAAAGGACACTAATCCTGAGACTGCTGGGTTTTGGGGCATGATTAGCATGGGAAGGCCTTTAGTTTGCAACTTCCTTTAAAACCATTTTCCACCCAATTTAGAAACAAAGCTTTGGAATTTAGTTTATTGTAAAACCCAGCCACAATCCTCACTTTTTCATGAGTGTTGGTGTGTGTGTGTGTGTTTTTTTTTTTTTGGGGGGGGGGGGATATGGTCTCCTTATTTCTGGAGATTGCCCATCATGGTTTAAAGCAAAAGATTGATAAAATAGCTCTCCTGTGAGCTAAGTGATAGGCAACTAGCCACTCCGGTGTTAAATCTTACAGTAACAACTGGCTCTATAAACAAATTGAGAAGCAAAAACCTAGAATGGCTATTACAAAATGATTTAGAAATATGCCCATCTCACTATAGGTCTTTTCAGCCTAATTCATTTCAGTTAAGCCTTTCGCATTCCCTATTTCTCTTGCCACCTTTATCGAAAGTTGTTGCTGATCAGTGAGCTGACTTTTTTTAGCAAGACAAATACGTTTCACATTAAGCACAGCTAACATGCCTTTGTTTTCATTATAGCACAAATGCTTTTTTTTTTTAAAGTACTGTAATTTTCCAGTACAAGCAATTTCACATGACAAAAAACTGAAATCGGGGAGAAGCTAACAGGCCTGTGGCTACATTCTCAAGGCAGCCATAAATTCTACAAGACACAGTATTAACTGGTGTATTTTCTGCAGATCAGTTATCATACAAGATGTACTTTATCATCAAAGAGGCAATCATATCCTGAGGGCAATATGTTGGAATACTGTATTACATTCTACGCTATAACTTATAGTCTTCCCTTTGTCTATTGTTTGCTTTTTATAATTCTTCAATGCACACATATAAGTAGGTAACACGGTCTGCTATGAAACTATAGTACAATCCAATTTCAAATGTGAAGTAAACTAAATGAGGCAGATATCATTTATTTTTACCCTTGATACTTCTTAAACTACTGTTGAAGGCTTTCATGGCTGGAATTGTTGGGTTGTTGTAGGTTTTTTGGGCTGTATGGCCATATTCCAGAAGCATTCTCTTCTGACGTTTCACCTACATCTATGGCAGGCATCCTCAGAACCTTTGAGGATGCCTGCCATAATAGATGCAGGAGAAATGTTAGGAGAGAATGCTTCTAAAACATGGCCATATAGCCAAAAAACATACAACCCACTTCTCAAACTGCTCAAAAGCTCTAAGTTGTCTCTGAGAAGAAAATAAAGAACCCTATTGGGGACTTGCATCTTTGTAAGTGGACTTAGGGTGCATCTACACTGTAGAAGTCATGCAATTTGACACCACTTGAACTACTGCAGCTCAGTGCTATGGGATCCTGGGAGTCATAGTTTGATGGGGCACTCTATTTGGTATAGATTTTAAAACATGCCTCCTACTATCCATACTGTAATTATTCCCCATTGCACGATTCCCTTTGGTCGCCTTGGATGACCTATGAAGAGAGCAAGACAGGGGGATTGTGTTCCTGGTTCTCCTGGATCTCCCAGCGACTTTTGATAACATTGAGCTTAAAATATCTTTCTGGGTTGTCTTGTTGGGATGGGACTGGGAGACGTTCCTGGAGCGCTGTACCCAGAAAGTGGTTTTGGGGGACTCCTGTTCAAACCCCTGGCCATTGATCTCTGGGGTTCCTCAGGGGTCTGTTTTGTCCCCCATGCTGTTTAACATATACATTAAACTACTGGAAGAGGTCATCTGGAGTTTTGGAGTACAATGCCAAGAGAAAGATATTTAAAGGTCAATGGTATCAAAAGTGGCTGAGAGACAATGTTTTTGGAAAACGAGTTAATAGGAAGTCACTGCTGATTATGTTTTTAATGATTTTACATGGTTTTTATAATGTGCACTTAAATTTTTTAAATTGTTTTATGACTTTTGTGGCATTGAATTGTGTCAGTTGTAAGCTGCCTTGAATTGCCTCCGGGCTAAGAAAAGCAGCATAGACATGCCATAAATAATAAATAAATAAATAAATGAATGCAGATGACACCCAACTACTACTCCTTTCCATCAGCTGTGACCACCCCCAGCTCCTTCAAGGTCAAGCGAGCCCCTCCAGGGATGCCATCTGTCTTGTCCTTGGTTGCCCCCTCTTCCTTTTTCCTTCCATTTTCCTCAGCATCATTTTCTCCAAACTTTCCTAACTTGGAAAATACTTCATATTTGCCTCTAATATCCTTCCCTCCAGTGAGCAGCCAGGCATTATTTCCTGGATTTCTATAAAAACTATAAGAACTTTCCTTCTTCCCATACAATTCAAATATGGTTTCTTCTCCATAACAAAGTTCTTCCATATTTTCTCCTTGTTTGTCATAACCAATTCTGCCACTTCCGCCATTCAAAAAACTTTCATTATCATTTTTTTCTTCTGATTGTTGTGCTTGATGTGCCATTGTTTTCATATATGTACTCATCTGTGTAATTGATTGTTTTCTTCCATTTAGCTGTCTTTAGTTCATTTAATTTCTGCTCAGATCTGGATTACTTGGTCTATTGCTTGGGTCTCCTCCAGAATTTTCTGATTTGAATCTCCCATTTTAATTGGTATTTCTGTTTACCTTCTTATGTCTATCTTTATCAGTTTCCTTTTCCAGTGTATTCATTTTTGATCTGGTTTCCTCGCATGCTCTGTATCCTGTTATGGCATTTGTGGGGTTTTAAGCATCACTTAGAAAAGAGGAGGGAGGAGGGAGGGGGAAGTGTTTTTCTGTGTTTTTGTGAGTGAAGGACATACATTGCATTGTTAGTTGTCTTGTGTCCAAATTTGGTGTCAATTCGTCCAGTGGTTTTTGAGTTCTGTTAATCCCACAAACGAACATTACATTTTTATTTATATATATTGTGTGGTATCACAACTCTGAGTTCATTTTTGAATGCTGTATAACATTTGCAAGGCCGTTGCCACCTCATCAGTACATATGCATATTGTGTTTAGAAATGGAGCCCCAGCAAGAAGAGTTGGAGTGATGGGCAGGATATCCAACTTTTCAGTTTGCACATACTCTATAGAGGTGGTTCCTATCCATTGGTCCTCCAGGTGTTTAGGACTTCAACTCCCAGAAATCCCAGCCAGCTAACCAATTGTTACGAATTGTGGGAGCTGACATCCAAAATACCTGGAGGACCAAAGGTCCTAGGTAATAGAAAAGCTCTAAGTAAAAGAGGGAGACCCCTACAGATTAAGAGCACTTGCTGGGAGAAATAAAGGCCCTTATGTGATTTTGTGTAATGCTCTTCTGGGAGGGTCAGAGGTCTGATATTTTGGAAAACTGGGCATTTGTCGTTCTCATCTAATCTAGCTAGTAAATTATTTCCTCCCACATTTCAAAGGACTGTGCTTCTATATAAAGAAATAACAAAATACAACATGACTCAGCAAACAAAAAAAGAATGAATAAACATTTGGAAATTTTAGTTTTATGACTGAAAGTACATTTTTAAAGCGCCATACAGCAGTTGCATCCAACTCCCAAGGTACATACATAGGAGAAGCAGCACACAGTACCTGAACATCTGTAGGAGTCCCAAAAACCCAGAATGTGTTTAGTATGACAAAACACCCGAGGGATGTGCAATATGTCTTAGCAGTTAGATGAAGAATTAAAGAAAAGACAAACATACGGAAATACAGCCCTATTCTTGTTGCATAACAGAATTCAAAGAATACACACTGACATTCAACACTCTTTCAAGACGAGACAGATAGCCAGTTATCCAGCATGGTTCCTGTCTCTTCCTCTATTCATTACAGTGTACAATCTATTGGTTTAACATCTGGGGTGGTATGAAATGATGCAATTTCAAAGCAAATGCTTATCTCCCATCTTGTCTTGGCTTAATTTTTTGTAAGGCTGCAATGTACACTGAAGTCAATGCCTCTCCCAGAAAGGCAACTCAAATTTCAACATAAACGTTTATATTATGCATAGGTGAGCCACGCACAGATGCAGGATAATTTCTTCACATTTTAAACTTCCCCCCGAAGCACGCACACGCACACACACCCCACGTCTTATGTACACCAATAGATTTATAACAATACCTGAACTTAAGGTGCATAGGCAGATGAAGCCTTACGCTGGACAAAGAACAGTTTATAAATTTGCTAATAAAATGACATGGCCAAAAAAATGCCTTTTAAGGTTATCAAAGTTATTTTTCACAACATAAACAATTGTAAAATAACATGTAAATTTGACTTCAAAACCAAAGAAATAACCCTACCACCCTAGATTAAATGTGTATTTCCAGTATCTGTTCTTCAAAAACGATCCTCCAATTTTAAAATAAAATTCAAATATATATATATTATATATATATATATATATATGCACGCACGCACACACGCACACACTTATAACTTAAGTGTTGTTTGCTGTAATTTCTTCATGCAAGAGATGTGACCTTCTTAAAGAGGCCTTTCTGAAAATGCAGTAAAGCTCTTCACTCGTGCAAAGAACAAGGGGGTGTACATCTTGTCAATGTCAAAAGAAGAGACCGCTGTCTCACCAGTAGACCTAAAACAGACATTTAAAACGTGAATTAGACCTGACCAGTAGACCTAAAACAGACATTTAAAACGTGAATTAGACCTGACCATTATCTTTCCTAAAGAGCAAGGACTGGCTTAAATTATATACTAGTACAATTTGCTTCCTAACTTGTGGTCGAGCAATTAGTGATCAGGAGTATTGTGAGCACACTGAAGTTTGGATAAAACTCCCTTGCTGGATGTGATAGAGAATACAACATTCAGCTTCCCAAACTTACAATCTGCAAGTCTGTAAGTCAATTTCTGATTAAATCTCAGGAACCACAGAAATCCTTGAAGAAGAATTCTAGTCACCAGGAAAGAGGGTTTCCCTGGCTTGCAGAACATGTCACCCTACCCTCATCCATAAAAGAAGCAATTTAATCTGTGAAGTCACAAAATTATGTACAATGGGGGGGGGGGGGGCCAATGTGCCTATATTTGCAAATTAAAGAATCCAGATTTTTCATCCAGGAACATTTACGTCAATAAAGATTGTTTCGGCATTTTTGATGGAGAGGACAACAGAATCCCAGAGAGAATGGTAGTCTATTTATGTTCAAGGAGGCTGTGGTTTAGGTGTGGTTTTATTTTTTGCATCACAAAACGATCTCAGATTTCTATTAAACTTTTTTAGAATTCAGTGATTTTTTTTCTTTTGTGTTAAACTGCATTGATAGGCATGTGAATCTTCCATGTTTCATTTTGTAGCCAAAATGAAACATCACAATCAAACAAACACATCTGCTGAAGATTAAGCCAGGAGAAAGTGTAAATTTGACTTTTGATTTCTAATTAATTTCAATTTTTTGTTTAAATTTAGAATTTCTTTTACAAATTAAATTTAAAAATATGAAGTCATGATATAAAGTCTTGTAGTTTAAGGAACCATATGAATCAGGAAAGACTAGATGCTTTATAAAGTACAGCATATTTCAAATGATTTTCATTTAACCTCAGATGATTCAAGAAAGCAACTAAAACCATCAGTTTAGTTTGTCTTCTATTATACTTCACCCAGGAAACTATTAAGTTAACCAGACTTTATCTGGGTTGTACTAACTTGTAGGTAATGTGACAAGAGTGATGAATCCAAACAAGTTTGTTGAATTTCTGGCGGCCACTGGAACACAGCTGTAGCCCTACATGAAAGCTGTGATCTGTTTCTTGCACAGGGACACGACAGAAATATCTGAATCTATGGTAGTCAACTGGTTTCTAGATAGTAAACAGAAACAAGGTAAGAATATGCACAGTAGAAACACATATGCATTAGAGTAAACAAATAACTATGTTGCCTGTATATTTCCATTCATACAAAATATTCAAGAGTTTATTCAGATGCAGCCATGTTGAGAGTATGTCCACTGCAAGATAGTAACAACCAACATTTTGTACTGTGCTTGGAAATTAATTGGCAGCCAGTGGAATGGTTTTAATATTGGTATGATAGGGTCCCTCAAAAATGGACCAGTGATCAATCTGTTTGCCATGTTTCAACTAATTGAAGTTATTGAACTTTGTAGCCAAATGTACATTGTTTTGCAGATGTCCAGCTTATGGACAGCTATCTTTAGATCCTCCACCACTAGGAAGGGACACGGCTATTGTAACGGCCAAAGCTGATAATAGGCCCTCCTGGCCATTGCATCTATCTAGGCTGTCATTTGGAGCAATGGATCCAGACGTACCCCTAGGTCTTCCTGAGGAATTACATTCGCCTATAATGGATGTGCGTCCATTTGTGAAAGCCTTTAAGTCCAAGACTCCAAATCCTCACAAACCTAGCAGAGGAAATTAAAAGTATGGACCTCAATACTGATCTGATTTTCAAATGCACAAATTTGTTTAGTCGGTGTGAAGTAATGGCTAGAGTGATGGCCTGAAGCTGGGAAATCCTTTAAGAAATTGCTTTCTGAAGAAGAAAGACAGAAGAAGGGTGACCTTCCACTATCTTCTGCTCCTCATTCTCAATGTCCCCTCATTCCTTTTGCTTCTTATCCAATCATTTCTTGGCCATTTTCTGTTAATCCCAACCATACTCCATTCCTTGCTCAACAAGGTCTGCAAAGCATGGCCTACACACAATGCCTCTCCCAACCTCAAGTGATTAAAAAGAGGGGAGGTTTGGGTGGTGGATAAAAATGGCAAAAATGGCATTTTCTGGGTTGGGGTGGTTGACCTCGAAATGCCCAAGAATGGCCTTTAGAGGTTGATCACCCCTGCATTGGAAGGATGGGGCAATTTGTTTATTTACCACACTTAGTAAAAAATAAGACATTCCTTCCCCTAAAGCCACAGCCTTGGTCCAAAGCATTGGCAAACAAAAATACCAAAATTAAGATCCATAATCCAGAGGTACATACAGAAATCTGTATTTGTTCATCCCATGCATATATAGATTTTTCATCATGCACATCCCATCAAAAGAGCTTTTTAACATTTTGTTCCTTTCCACATTTAAGAAGTAGAACACTAGATGGACAAAATAACACCCTAGCTTCAAACATGCATGTATGTACGTTATTCTGAGATAAATGAATGAATGCGTGCATTTTCTTTCATATATACCTCTTCTTTCTTCTTTGTGATTACAGCAAATACTTTGGTTTGATTGTCTGTATCCTGGGAAAGGCGATAATGGCCAAACAGGATTGCATCAGTTCTAGGGTTTAGAAAGAAAAAGACTGTTAAAATATATCTAAGGGCCCTTCCACACAGACATATATCCCAGAATATCAAAGTAGAAAATCCCACAGTATCTACTTTGAACTGGGTTATCTGAGTCCACACTGTCATATATTCCAGTTCAAAGCAGCTGATGTGGGATTTTATTCAGCTGTGTGGAAGGGGCCTAAGACTGCAAAGCATTTTAAAGATAAAGTTTTCCTTTCATTAGTGGCAATGCGGGCTTCAAACTTAAAACTACCTATTTTGTTTATTCCTATTCTGAAATATGAGAATTCCAAAGGCTCAACGGTTATTGCAAGCGCCTAAGTTTTAAAATCCTAATTAAGAGAGATAGGTACAAAACTCTTATATACCTGGAAAATAGAATTACTTGACACAGAAACAGAACATACCTTGTGTTTTTAGTTCGTAAACGAGGAACAATAGACTGTGGCTCTTCCGGAGTTGTTAGCATCATCACTTGGCCATCTGGGAAGAATCTTAGGTACCTAACAAATTAAATAAATAACAAGAATTTCATACTAGTTTTTTTAATGCTAAATCCAATCTCCCAGGACAAAACAAAACCCTGACTAAATTTTCTAAACATACTGATTGTAACATATTCATTATCACAGCAAGAATCTGAAAGGTGCATTTAAATATGTTTTTGCATGAAGAACAGAGTTGATTTGCTTTATATTTCAATCAGTTTCCCAGGCAACATGGCTGTTCCCAAAGACCTCAATTTTCAAAGAGCAGCTTATAGGTATCCCAGCAGGATCTGGGTCAAAGAAGAACTCTCTGAATTGTCCCTGACGCTACAGATTAGCAACGCATGTGCTTTGCAGGCAGAAGACCTCAATTCAATCCCTAGGTAGAAATGGGAGAATCCTGCCTTGAAACCTCAGAGAACTACTAATGGACAACACAGGAAATACTAAGTTGGTCAGATCAGTGTTCTGACAGTATAGGGTACCTTACAATGTTCCTATGTTCTCCACCAAGAGCAGCAAAACCTAGATCAGGAGAACTTCACAAACTACAATAATTCAAGAATATTACCAGGAAGATTCAGTATAACTATATCATCAAACTACAATTCATTGACCCCAAACATTATGAGCAACCATGCTAAATTATCTGCCTGCAAGCAATCCTGTTGAGGTTCTTTGGACACACCTATGTCTCCATAGCACCGAGATTTTATGAGAACAGGAACTGTATTTGCAAGGAACGTAAGAGAAACAATTAACTCACTCATTTTACAAAGCTCGTACCTGTAATAATCCACCTGGTGCCATGCCCTATAGAAGCCATCAAGAGACTGTTCTCCTTGGCGTATGTAGGTTGTCTTGCTGATATAGACACCTGTAAAATTTGGAGTAGAATGCATATTTAGTCAATAAACAGGCGAATTATGACTTAGTTGTTAATATTTAACACACAACAATGTGTTTGCTTATAACATTTAATTTCTTTCCCCTTTTTTAACAAACCTGCAGCAGTTCTACTACTGCATTGAAACAATAATCTTCAGTCTTTCCTCTAATATTAATTTACCTGATATTGCCCTAACCATTGTAATAACCGTGATAACAAATAGGGTCAAATTTATAAACTGCAACTCCATATTACATAAGAGCACTGCTCTAGGGAATTTGGGGAGCACTCCTTCCCTGAGTGAAAAATGCATTTTTTAAAGTTAAGCAGAAGGGGAGGGAGGCTCTATCCCATTTGAAATTATTAGAACAACTGAAAAACAACTGTTCCCATCATGAGAGATCCATTAATTCTAAGTTGCAGCTGAGATCTAACTGCATCTTTCTGGACAACCAGCCAAGAACAGAGATAAAGAAGAAAAGTTGGCTTCTTTACTAATCCGAGCAGCTTCTCAAAACCTGAAGGCTTACAGCACCAAGAAGCTGGCAAGCACAGAGTCAGCTGTCTAGTTCCTTCAGAATGGATGGAATATGATTAACACAGATAAACACAGCCAGAATACTAGCAGCTGAAATCTGTACTAACTGAAACTCAACTTATAAAACATCATGAAGTTACTTGTGCATGCGCTACTTTAGTCAGACACTCCCTACTCAGGAATAATCACTGGGGAACCAAAAGAAACTAAAAAAAAAAAAAAGTCTCAGGCAACTGAAGCCACATCAATTGCAAGATAGTGTTGGATCTATGAGCTCCATGCTTGATATTTTCTGGGGAGGGTAATCCCATCCAAAAGATTGTACACTAACACTGTCTAGTCTGGGCTTCACTCAGACTGTAACTCAGTCCAGAGTGGTCCAACCTCTCCAAAGATTCATAGAAATCCAACAACAAAGAGAAATAGTGAATCATCCTGCTGATTTAAGATCGAGCATAAATGTTATTCCAAGTATCAAAATTTCTGGGTGTTTTTGTTTTGTTTTGACTAAGGGTTCAATGTTCCTTTATCTTGCTTACCATCAAATCGAACTCTGGGTCTCTTCAGAAACATGTCCCTCCACGAGGTATAAGGAACCACTTTGTTACAGGTCCTGCCCCAAACTTTCAAACAGGCCTGACGCCAGATTTCTGGATCCCTGAAAACAGGGTAACACAGGAATAAAACCTATGTGGGAAGGACTATTCATGATTTACGTATTTATTTTGCACTTTTAGGTTCATAATGAGATCTGCAATTTCTCATGTCAACCAAACTGTTTTAACACTGCTTCCTAAACCCACTGTCATTTACTAGCCACAGGCAGAACTGCCTAATTTCATCTTATTCTACTGCATCTGTAAATCCAGACTCAGAATCTCATTTACCATGGCAATGGAAGGGTGTTTACGATTATCCGGTGTGATACAGCTAGACCATGTATGCAAGTGCAGAAATGCCACAGCCCTTATCACACATTCAATCTATGACTGGCCTGACAGTAAAAAAACCCAAAAAAAACCCTGCCCTTTATTTGACTAGGGCATTACTAAATAATCCATGAAGCCTAGAAGGCTACTGTGTTCATAAAAGCTTAATTTTTCATTATTTTTTTTCATGGTGGTGTTATCAAGAACTGGAGTGAAGATGGCTCTTTGTCTCCAGAGCCTACATGGCCAAAGAGAGCAGAGATCACCAAATAACAACCAAAACAACTTCCTGACCAAGTGTCAGCCTGTGACTCAAATTTCACCTTTTTCCCCTTCCAGTGTAAGAGTTTTAACAACTTGCCTAATGACGAAGCCCGTGGAGCTTTCAAAGCTTACACATATGTTATGTATTTTGGTTGACCCAATAAAGGTATCTTTGGCATGTTCTATTTTACTGTATGGCACACACAGTAATCACTGAAATATTCTCCTAAATTCTCCTATTCTCCTAAAGTGTTAGAGTGTTCAGGGAGGAAAAGTAGCAATGTATCAAACCTTCTTATGCTGGAAAACTCTTATAACTGCAAGTACACCCAAACAGTAACAAAGGCCTACATTGCCTACAACTGCCCACAACTCTACTTTATTGGTAGGAGGAACCAGGAAGTTGTGTCTGATTAATGTTTAAAGAAAACTGATTTTTTGTTCCTCATAATTTCCAGATGAGTAGCTAGAAAGCATTGCTGGTTAATTCCAGAAGCAACAGTCCTATGGCATTTGAGACGTTAGGGAAAATTCTCGTTCTCAGAACCCACGACTCTATAAAAGAATAGAATTTACTCTAATTTGGCAAATATAAATGTGGATGGTGGTGGTAACCAGCATGATCAAAGGGAAAAACTATATAATAATTACAATCATTTTTATACCTCATTTGTCTCTTGCTTCATTACCAACAATCCATATAAACATTTGTAAATTAGGATAACACTTCATATGTCACTACATTCTAGTACACAAAGGCTTGTATCATGTTAATCTTTAAAGTGCAAAAACATCAACACTTTTCATTGTTTATGGATTTTAAGAAAATGATTGCTATTTGCTTATTTTCACATATTTCAGAAGTCTATGACTACTGGTTGACACCAATTTCAGAATGAAAGGCAAAAACTATTCAGAGCATTGTACGCATTCTGTAAATGCGCACAACATCAAAAAACTGTTAAAAATTACAATAATTTGTAATATTTGAAAAAAAATACAAAAGTATTTGGGGGTAATGAGAACAGGTAATCCCATATGAATATGGAAGCTAAGCAGGGTAAACTTTAGATGGGAGAAAGCCAATGATTACCAGGTGCTGTAGGCTACGTTTTACAGGAAGGGACATAACAACCCCTGAGTACTCCTTGATTAGAAAACTCTATGAAATTCATGGAGCTGCTATATGACAACAGGCAACTTGAAAGTATTAAAATTCCTAGAATCCCCCAATCTAGACAGTCCAATGACCATTTACCATGGAGACTGTGACAGTTGTAACAAAAAAGTGGCATTTCAATGTCTAAGTTATGGTTGCTCTTTTTGTTGCCCTAATGGAATTCATGCTTTAAAAATCCTTAATGATTTGATCAGTAAACTGAGAAAGACTTTTCTGCATAATCCCTTGTGGAGATGTAGGCAGGGCGGAAAAATAAAGTTCTTCTTCATTCCAATCTAAATGTATCACATACACAATTGTTTCCTGCATGACTATAATTTGTACCTGGCACAAATGTAGAAACCTCTGCAGACCAATGATAACTGTTCCAAAGACCGCAGATCCAGATCACTGGAAACCACCCATCGAAAAATATACATCAACAGCTCCATAGGCAATACTATGAAAAAAAGCAGTGAATGTTAACTATGCATTATATTCCACAACTATTTTGGGGTTTGCTTGTAAAATAGGAAGTTCTTTCAGATTTGTATACAATTCTCTCAACATGTTGATTTACTGATACATAAAGCAGGTTTTTTTTAAAGATCTCTTTAATGTAATTTTATTTATCATGTTATGTTTGGTCATAAATCACTATGCTTCTAAAGATAGTAGACATGAAGCATGCAGCTCCAGTAACAAAAGATTATCATTTTGGGACCACCAACAATGTGCAGTGTAACAATTTCTCCTGGCCTGTATATAATTGGATGAAGAAGACCATAAAATTACATGTAAAATCACAAAATGATAGGGATTAAAAATTAAGGATAAGCCAATATTTCCCTGAGCAACCATGTTTTTCTTACATTTTCAAAGAAAAAAAGGAATTATTACCATGGCCATCATGTATTTTTTTAAAAGCATATCCTGCTTTTCCGACAAAATGTTCAAGATAACATTGATGCGTATCTACCAATTGTCTGCCCAAGTATTTGCATATGCCCTGCAAGGTATATATTTCGTTAAAAAAATCCAATGTAACACTTCCATGATGTGATTCCTAGTATCAAAACATGTATAATATCGTTGCTGTGAAATAATCTCTTGCCTGAGATATGAGTCTGATTCACATTGAGCTCAGGCTGACAGAGTTTGATGGATGATTCCTGAAAAGTCAACTGCTGCTGAAAGTAGGATAGTAGGTCAGCCATCTTGAAGTCTTCCTCATTATCTTCAAGGCTAAACAAAGGAGGCATAGCAGAACAACAAAATATTACAAAACACTATCTTGAAAAAACTACAGTGCAATTGTGTTGTGATTGAAGTTCATGCATACCAATATTTGCTTTCATCTATGTGTGTTTAGCATCGGAGCACAGTTCTGAAAATAAATGCTCCTTTCTGAATAAGACATATTCCCTCAAAAAGTACTGATTTCCTGACACTGATTTTAATACTCAATCTATTTGATAATTTAAACAAGGATATCCTCGTCAGTACTACAGTGTGAGTTCCACATTTTTTATCAATTTTATTTTATTATTTTATTTTATTAATTTATTTTATTTTATTAATAGACTTGAAATGGAGAAGTGAAACTATCAACATAGTAAAACTATTCAGATACATGCTTTGGCCTCTCCCCTAAAAGTAATGTTGGTTACAACAGCAAACACTACAAGACTGTAAACCTTGACATTTTCATAAACCAAATATTGAAACTATTTGTCTAACAAACCCTTGGATTGTCCACTTTTTAGCTAGTTTTGCTCCTGTAGTTTAAGCAGCAGCTAAACAGATGAATGCCTTCTATGCCACTTTTCTCTTCATGGCAATAAAAGAATTACCCATTTAATTTCAGTACATTAAGCTGCTGTTAAAAACACAAGAAAAAGGACAAAAATATGCAACACAACAGAAAACAATATATTTCTAATTAAGCACTTGGTTTTTAGATCATGTTTATCCAAACCATAGATAGCACTAGGGCTAAAAAGAGTGTAATTCTGAGTGAGCAGGGCCTAAGGCTGCAACAGATCTAGAACTCAATGCAAATGTTTTAGAGCAAGCAAGCACGGGATTGGACTCTGTGACATCTGATTTAGAATTGTGAGTGGGTAAATGTGAAGTGGACTGTGCGAGTTACAGCACACCTTACCCCATTTAAATCTTTTTTTAAGTCCATGGAGAAGTAATACATCCATCTGCATCTCATGTGGGGTTTAGTCCCCAGAAAGGCAAAATAATAATTAGAGGGATAAGCATATTTTATATACTCATGTATACATTGACTTCATGTTCAAGTCAAGAGCAGCTTGGGGCAAAAATTATGGATTTTTATATTACTCATGGGTAAGTCAAGAGTCATTCCATGGAGCTGGGAAAGAGCCAGTGTAACCTCAGGGGGACAGACATCTCCAGCTGATGTCTCTACCATTTTCCTTCCCATACAAGAGGCCAGAAGCAACCCAATGGCAGAGAGAGTAAAAGGGGTCAGTTTTCCTTTTAGGTTCTCCTGAGATAGATTAAACTGTTACCGTTTGTCAGAGAAGGGGATCATTCCCTTTTTGATCAAAGTTAAAGTACAGTACTTACATAGACTCATGGATAAGTCAACACAGGGTTTTTTTTTGGGGGGGGGGGTGTCAATTTTTACTATGATTTTTAGACTTATGCATTAGTATATAGAGTATATCCTTTATAACTACTATTCTTCCTTGACTCACAACTTATTGTTTGCTGGTTAAATTTGCAGCTGAAAGTAGTTTTGGTTTGCTGAAGAAAAAAGTGGGAAAGCAAAGGTGAAACACAATCAGAAAGAGGAATATATAATATAAGATCAAGTAGAATTCATACCTGTCTTAATATAAAGATCCTATAAAAAGAATCTGTTCAGAGGACATTTGATTCTGCCTTCCACTGAGGTTGAGGGAGTATAACTAGCAGCTACCTAAAACCAACCAATGGGCTTCCGTGGCTGAGTAGGAGTGAAACACTCAAACCACTTTGCCACACTAACTCTCACAAAGGTTTAACCAGAAAAAACCCAACTTCATTCAATGGGACTTGTGCTAATTTTCACAATACTATAGCTTTATACAAATGACAGAAGAATAGGAGATAATTAAATTGGTGGTTTATTTCTGTTTGGTTGGGCAGTATGTCCCTTGTGGTTTCTTCCACCTCGATGAGTCTATGATTCTAAGTGAGAGAAAGCTGATATTTTAAAAGATTCTGCTATTTAAACAAATCAACCATCATATACTTAGTGAAACCAGAGAGCAATGTAACATTGTGTAGATAGAATATTTTTTAGATCTCTCCTCACCAAACAATTAGCTACTAGTACATTAAAGAAAAAAGCTATCTCCTAAGATTGAGAGGAATTCTACATTTTTAAAGAACTGCCAGCCAAATGGTTCTGTCTATCATAACATTAACAGTAAGAAAAACTGGTTAATATACAAACCACTAAAGTCTTACCAGAAGCGAAGGGATTGTTCTACATTACAGCTGAACCTAGTGGCCTTGGACAATCTCTCTGAGAACCAGGGAAAGTTCACTCACCCTGACTAGGAAACAGGCTCCCTCGCAAGCAAGAGCAAAACTGAAAATGGCTTCTGCTCAAGTCAGTTGGCAGCTATCCCAGATTCATTAGGATAAAAGGGTGGGGATCAGTGGAAAGAAGTAGGCCAACGTAACTTCCTCCAGAAAAAAAAATAAACAAGTGAAGGCTAGAAAGAAAGCTACCAGCCACAACAACTGTGGCCTAAGGTTCCAGAGAATTAACTATTTCTAACTTTAGTGTCCCCTCATCTAAAAAAGCCCAAGGGAACTTTATAAGATGATTCCATTATTTTCTTTTGCTTGAGCCTTTCTTTCAATTTTCACCAAGAAAGAAAATGGAATGACCACCACCTAGTGTTAAAACTAAAAAATGTCAGAAACTACAAAGGGCAAAATCAACCAACAACAATACCTTTATTGAGTCAACAAAAATGCATAAGAAACATCATTCAAGCTTTTTAAGCCCTGTCCAGGGGTGGGGTGGGGTGTGTGTGTGTGTGTGCTTTGAATGTGATTTTCCTGCTTCTTGGCAGGGGGTTGGACTGAATGGCCCCCGAGGTCTCTTCCAACTCTATGATTCTATGATTAGGTGTCTACAGGTATTTTAAAAGGGCAAGACATTATTATTTTTGTTATAAAGCATAGTAAGGTATTTCTTGTTTGTTTCTTTGATTTAGCTTTGAACAGAAAGGAACAACCCTCAATATGTTGATCACCTACGCTTTGTGTCTTAATCAATAAATAAAAGTTGGATATAACAACTACAAACCCCCAGAGATATAACTTGTTTTTTTAGTTGCCCTCTTGTGAATTATTAATGTGACACACAACCTTGTCCAAAAATACACTTTATAAGTTAAATATAAGATAAAGTACAATGTAAACCTTATTGGTTGCAATGATGCCTTCTTTGCCAAAGGCCTAAATCAAATCTCCTCCTAGCAGCTGAAGAACTTTCCAACACTTCTATGAAGTCAACTCTAGAGGATTTCCTCATCGTCTAGATCGGTTTGAGTTGTCCTGAGACTGCAGGATCGCCTCTTCGTGATTGCACTGAAATTAACTGTGTTGTCAACAAAATATCACTGCTGGCACTCAATTACTACCCAATTATCTGTGCAAAGGCTTGTACAAAAGGATCTCCTATTGAGTCTGAAGCTTACCCACTAGTCACAGGCTGACTGTTAAAAGCACTAACACCATGGGGCTCATATTTAGGACAGCTTTGGCCACTGAGCTCACAGCATAATAAATATATACATACTGTACTTACTAGCTTTTCCCAATATTGTCAACTTCTGGAGATCGGGTGTAGGTAATCTTAAACTCAATATCTGGGACCAGTTGCATTGCCAGACGATAGAACTTAATAGCTAAAAACAAATGCAAGGTCTACTTAAGTAATTGTATTAACAGTACTAAGTATTAAAATCATGCTTCTAAAATTTGCATGTTAAGAGTTCTTACATATTACTGTTGTACTATACAGAGAAGGAATTCATTCACAACAGCGACAATAGAACTATGTATGTCACTTTTACTAATTTAAAGAAATGTTTAAATAGTAATCAGATTTTTTGTATTTCCGCCCTTTTTATTGACATTTGCAGGAAGGGGAACTTCTGTTCTCATTGTTCATTTCTCTAAGGAAATTTTCAAACAAGTAGCCATGTTAGTCTTTTGCATGATTTTTATCTCATAGATATAGCTCACTTCTTTGAATGAAGTACACAGAGATATTAAGACCTTATGTATAAAGAATATTTATAGTTGTGACAGTGTGGCAGAGTGTAATAGGATCCCGAAAGGTAGAAATTATGGTCTTTGCCCTAATTTTTTAAAAGGCTACATATGGTGACACGGATCTTTCAGGTCTTTAATGGGAGAATTTACAGGGTTCTGTGCTGCTGCACATATAACAAAAGGAATATTCTCAGGCCCCTTCTACACTGCCATATAGTCCATATTATAATAGCAGCTAATCCACATCTGCTTTGAACTGGATTGTATGAGTCTACACTGCCATATAATCCAGTTCAAAGCAGATAATCTGGATTTTATATGGCAGTGAAGATGGGGCCTCAGGTATTGGTTTGAACTCTGAGTACCTGGTTTTGGTAAGCTGTTTTACTGCTTTAAAACATCATTAGCTGACCACTGTTCCAAGTTAGAAGTTCAAAAGCAATTTCATGTGACATGGAAAAACAGGGCAAATGAATGAAAGGCGGACTGATACAATAGCCTTATAGTAAGCACAGGTTTCAGAGACTACTTTTATAACCAAAGGAGGCAGCAAAATTCTAGAATACACTGAATAGGGAGGAGCCCATGACAAGGCATTATGATATTTCTAAGATGGATTTCAGCATAGTTGTGTTCTGTCATGCTGATGGCAAATGAGGAAACAAAGCAAATGAATTTTTCTCATTCAAAAGACTGGGTGGTTCTTCTGTCCTCTCTTGAATGTAACCCCTTCATTAAAAATAACTCACAGGGGTAATGAAATGATAGTGCCACAATTGCTTGTTCCAATGCATGCTGCAACCAGTACAACACTGCAGGCATCATTTCCCAATGCCCCATCTGCACTGCATCAGAAGCACTTCAATTGGGGGCACTGCTAGACTGAAAAGATATGGTCACGATCAACTTATGGAGTACAGCTTACAGTATCAAAATGACTGAACAAGGTGTCAGCCAGCTTTTCTAATAAAGGTATTTTGCCTTCACTAATAGCTGTCTGATTTTTTTCCTATGAAACTCCACTGGTTGCCATGAATAATGTACATAATCCACCTTGTTCCATATTCCCCCCCCCCCCCCAATCACACACACACACTTTTGAGGCCTTTCCTGCAATCTCCATTTTCCATTCATGTTTATTCTCAGTTCGACAAATTTGGCAGTGGAACAGCCAACAGGCAAGGAGAAGCCATGCCCCTCCATCAGACCAAGGCTGGAAAACCCACCAGTCTCATGCAATTGTCATGAGGCCTTCAAAACTTCCAGTTTGGAATTGTGCATATAAACCAGTTGAGGGGAAGGCAATGCAGGCTTCATTAATGATTCCAGCTGAGAATTGGCAAGGCTGGGGAGCTCTTCTGCCTCGGCCTGACAGATGATTGTGGGTTCTCCTTCCCTGCTGGCTGTTCCGTTGCCTCTCTCCCTGACAGGACCTTGCATGCTCTAGTAAGCCTGTTATTCTCCTGTTGAGTTAATGTGCTATTGAATCTAATGCACAGCCTAATATTGGCAATGTAATTTAGCCTCCCAAAAAGCTGTGCATTAAGCTCTAGTAAATGCAGTAAGTTCATTGACTGTCTCATTTGCCATTTTCCTGACCAAACACTTCTCCATCCCTTATCTTTAAGGTCTAGTCTGCTAGACCTTAGAATCTGGCATTTGACCCTCCTGTCACTTTGACCTGTTTAAGAATCAGTAGTAGCTTTTATAAAATTGTGTCATCCTTATCCAACTACCATCATCAGGTGTAAAACTGATATTTTTTTTTTTAAAAAAAAGAAGACCTCAGCAACACTGTCAAAATGAAACCAGTAGAAGTAGGCCTATTTTGGATCATGTCCGAAATGGACTGAAGGATTTGTGAATCATTACTAAACTCCAATCGTCATTCCACAGTCACAATATGGAAGGTGAGACTTTTCAAACAGGAAGACTCCATACATAGAGAATAAATGTTGACTACATAAATCTAAACTGTATGGAGCATGTTGCAGAGTACAGTGTGGCAATGTTGTAGAGGTCAGGTCTATTACAGCAACTGGTGATTCACACTGTGTGGGCAAAAGAAAAATTTTCAAGCTCTGGGTTCCTCCACAGAGCCACTAAAATGCAAGTATTTCCATCAACTGTCCATGTGGAAAATATATGGGGGAAATGGTGTTGTAGTTCTTGGTATTAGTGCAGCTTATAAATACTGGCTCTATAGAAAACACTCTATTGTTCAAAATCATTTTATCATAAATGTGTATCTCTTTATTACCATTCCAATTACATTCTACATTAAAACCAAGTTATTCACACACAAGAAGTTTGGAAAGCTTTTTTATTTATAGATCAGTAATATTAATGTCACAGAACCAACATATCTGCAGCTCATTAATCAAAAGGCCAGAAATACAGCAGCTAAGGTATGTGAACATTCACGATCACTATATCAGGAAGCACATGTAGGAATATGTATATGTAGGACAGGAGTGAAAAAAATGTGGACTTCAAGTACTGAAATATCACCAGCCCTCAGCACTGGTCAAGCAAACATAGTGTAATAGGAACTGGGGTTCAACACCTAGAGGGCCACACACTGTCCAACCTTAAAGATGGCCTGTATTGCTGAACAACAATAAGGCATTTACAAGACTTTTCAGACTTTCCAAGTAAGAAGCAATCTTCTCTTAACAGGCTCTTGAGAAATGTACTTATTTATTGGTTTCAGCTGCATATCATTAGACACTTAAGCGTGTTGCATGGGAATGTGTTTGCTAAGTTATGAGACTAATCAAGCTAACCACGGTCAAAAACATTTATCTAGCATTGGCAGATGCTGAGTTTCTAAACATATTCAGATCAGTACTTCATACCATAATGCAAGTAGCCTTCCATATCTGAGCCATTCTTGGATTTGGGATCTTTCCTAGCAAAACATAATGTTATTTACTGGCCCAAGCTTCTTAATATTTCAGTAGCAAGCCCTTGTATACAAGGGCTTGTGTAAGTCCCTACAGGTTTCATACATTTCAGCACTCATTTCAAAGCAAGTCTTCTATCTAGCATGTTGTTATTCTTGTGAACAGTACTTTTCATAGTGCTTTACAATAAATTTATTAATCCTCACAACAACCCTGTGAGGTAGGACAGTTGGGACATCCCTACTAGGTACCTAGTTAACTTAATCCTCAATTAGGACTTTGAATATTGTTCACCTATGCTAATCCAGAGAAGGCACCAGGACTGATTAATTAGCAGGTAAGAGTACAACCACCCTTCAATCAAGTTTTTTTTTCTTCTCTCAGCCATAACCATTTAATATGGTTTTCACTAAAGCTGATAACATCAGCTCATAAGTACTGCAATGGTTCAGGAACTGTCTGTGTAAAATTAAAACATAAATGATAAAATTACCTTCATAAAGAGCCCCATTTTGTTCTTGTTCCACTGCCTTCAGGAACAGTTCTCTCGCCTGTACAAAAATTAGTCAACTGTTTAAGAATCTCTTATAGGTAAGCAAAATAAATTAGTAACTGTTTATGAAATAACCCAAGCCTCACTGGTATTAAAAACAAAAGTTGGACACACACAAGCTTTTTGGTATCCTATCAGCATTGCTGCTCTTTTTGTGAAGTTACACAAAATTCTCCATTCACTTTTGAAACTGATCTTAATTCCTCACATATAAACTTTTCATATGAAAAAGAAGAACACTAAATATAAACAAACTGTTAAATTACTGTGGATTTTCACAGCACATTTTCCGAGAGTAAGATGAAAGTCTAATTTGTTATTGTTGGGGTGATCAGTATCCTGTTGAAAGGTGGCATTTTCTTTGTAGATTATCACTTTACACCTAGAACAAAATATCTGTAACTGGTTAAGAAAGCAGGCTCTTGACAGCTCCAGAAATCAGCTGCTAGAAAAGAAAGCACATTGCAGCTGTATCATTTTTGCAAACACACAAGTTAGTGAAATAGCACAAAGTTTTCCAGCTTCTTGTTTTTGATGTTGTAATTGCACTTTACAAGAGCTTCCTAGAGTACTGGATGTGAAAAAGACAGAAAGCAACAGGAGGAGCAGATATAACTCTTTTCTTTCCTCTTTCCCTCAAAAGTCCAAATTCTCTTATCAGAAACTTCTTGGAGTGAATCAAGTTCTTCAGTAGTTTGAACATGCTACTTACACATGCACAATGGTTATAGTTATTGTCAGTTTTAACTTGTATCCACTCTCTTTACTAAAGTAATACTTCATCCTTTACCATGTTTTATTCCTTTTAATTAAATGAACAACCATCCTAGGAAGTTAGATCAACATCTTCCAATTCTGTAATACAATTTCCTGTTGAAGGTTTTCATGGCCGGAATCACTGCAGTTTTGTGTGGTTTCCGGGATGTATGGCTCTGTCCTAGCAGCATCTTCTCCTGACTTTCACCTGCATCTGTAGCTGGCATCTTCAGAAGATTGTCTGAAGATGTCAGCCACAGATGCAGGTGAAATATCAGGAGGAAATGCTGCTAGAACACAGCCATACAGCCCAGAAACCACACAACACTCCAATACAATTTCTTTCTGTTTCCTAGTGTAGTGAAAATTACTTCCATATTTTGTTAATTCAACAGTCAAAACAGAGTGCAAACACAGTAAGTGGTGTCACAGCGGTAAGAGCAGAAGTAGAAAAATTAGTCCATGCTTTTCCTAGAGAGACAGCATTCCAACAGTTGACTGAAGATGAATGTTATAGTTTCAGAAGATCATTTGTTTACCTTTTCCTCTTTTGCTAGTTCCAGTTTTCCTTTGGAATCTACAGCCTTTATGGAACCTCTTGCCGATGTTCTGCAGGATCGAGCATCCAAATTTGTAGAGCTCACCCCTGGTGCAAGTTCAAACATCCATTGTGCTCTGAACATCTGGAGCTCTGCCTAGAAATCCAGAAACTAAGTCCAACAGTTGGGCAGATGGGTCTACATACAAGCGATTAAATGATGTGCACCTCAAAAATGAGAAGTAAACGATTTCTTCTTGGTTATAGGAAGCAAATGATTCTTGATATTGTACTCTTTGTTTTAGAATCCTAGCCAGTAATGGATGTATCATGGCTGACTTTTAGTCCATTTGTATATATGGCTCAAAACTCTTCATTTCATAAACTAATGTGTTAACATCCTTGACCTTCCCAAATCACAAACAAAATAGGATCTAATGCATCTTGGCAAATCAAGCACGATCAAAACAAATGTTTTTTCTGGAATGTCAGTAAGCTGGCTCCAAAAATGCAGTATCTTCTGTAGAAAGCCATCCTAGTGTGCTGTCAAATTACTTCAGAGCATGCAAGGTAATGAGGAATTTGAGCTATTTGTTGCTTTTTGAGTAAATGTGTTGCTTTTCTCTAATAAAAATAGTGCCATTCGATGATTTTCCTTGCTGAAAAATACTTCTCAACTAAGCATTATCCTTGCTAAATGGCAAGCTATCCACTTTATACATACAGCAAAAAAAACAAATTAGAACAGGCCCCAGATCCTGCAGTTATAAATGTAGGTTTCACATTCAGACACTGAGATGCCTCAGCTCATTAAAAGGGTTAAAAAAATGAAAGAGGTCTATGTGCTCTGGTTACTTCTTTAAAGAGCAACCAATACATGATACAAATAGCAGTATTTAAAGCTCTTAAGTCAGAAATTAACAAAAAGCTACAGGATACTGCAATTTAATCCCAAGTATGGCCAACCTGTCTCAATCTGACATGAGTGTTGATTTACCAAGTTCCCAATGGTTCAGTCATCTATTCTAGTTTATAGATGAAACTGGACTGAAACATGTGAAGGATTATACATTCCAGAGATACTAAGTTTTTACTCTATAATAAGAGCCTTATGAATTATGTTACCAAAAACTGCAACATTGCCTCTCAATTTCTAATTGTGGCAAGGGTACATGGACCATATAATAAGACTAGAGATAGCTCCATGACAAACATACCTGAAGATTTGCTTCGCCAGATCGTTCATTCTCTTCCGCTCTTAAGTCAGAGTGACAATCTTCTTCACCTTCTGCCTGATTAAGAAAAAGTCGCATTTTAGCATCCTTAAAACATACAGATCTAACAAATGATTCATTTCCTAATCTGCAAATGAAAAGCAAGATCATTGATGCATTCACCTTGAACCTGACTGAATATTTCAGGATTATGTAATTTTCTTCTGCACCAACTCAGTAGTATAGCTAGTTGCACATTTACCAACACTAATGAAATGCAACAAGAATGATTGACAACTGGAAAATAGAGGGAGAAACCGTGGAGGCCGTGACAGACTTTGTATTTCTAGGTGCAAAGATTACTGCAGATGCAGACTGTGGCAAGGAAATCAGAAGACGCTTACTTCTTGGGAGGAGAGCAATGTCCAATCTCGATAAAATAGTAAAGAGTAGAGACATCAGACTGGCAACAAAGATCCGCCTAGTCAAAGCCATGGTATTCCCTGTAGTAACCTACGGATGTGAGAGCTGACCTTAGGGAAGGCTGAGCGAAGGAAGATCGATGCTTTTGAGCTGTGGTGTTGGAGGAAAGTTCTGAGAGTGCCTTGGACTGCGAGAAGATCCAACCAGTCCATCCTCCAGGAAATAAAGCCCGGCTGCTCATTGGAGGGAAGGATACTAGAGACAAAGTTGAAGTACTTTGGCCACATCATGAGGAGACAGAAAAGCCTAGAGAAGACAATTATGCTGGGGAAAGTGGAAGGCAAAAGGAAGAGGGGCCGACCAAGGGCAAGATGGATGGATGGCATCCTTGAAGTGACTGGACTGACCTTGAAGGAGCTGGGGGTGGTGACGGTCGACAGGGAGCTCTGGCGTGGGCTGGTCCATGAGGTCACGAAGAGTCGGAGACGACTGAACGAATGAACAACAACAACAATGAAATGCAATGTGCATACATTTCCCAGAACATCCACCAACCCATGCAATTATCTCTGTGTAGGAAAATATATTATGAAGCATTCTTCCTTTCCTCAAACTTGCTGGTTCGGTTTTCTACTACATGATAAGGCAATTTGGTCATTGTTTAAAGACACTGAAAGAAAACTTTACACAATAATTCAGGAGAAAGTTGGTGTCTACACTTGGAGTGACTGGAATCCATCTATCACTCCCATTCCTATAGACCTTAATTTACAACACCAAAATGGCAACTGATTTGAAATGGCTAAATTTAAAATATTAGGAGGAACTTCCAGACGGTAATAACTGTTCAACAGTGAGGTATGATGTTTCCCTGGAGCATGTTGGACTCTCCTTCTCTGGAGGTTTTTGAGCAGGGGCTGGGAGAGCTTAGATTGAGTGTTCCTGAATGGCAAGGTATTGGATAGTCCTTGTGGTCTCTTCCAATGCTATGATTCTATTTGCAATTTTCACTTGCTTGGACAGAGAGCACATAGCAGATGAAGCGAGTGCTCCTGCCTTAAGAATAGCTGTCACAGGCCCCTTTCTATATCCCTGATTTCTGATACCATCCCATCCTGACTCTATCCTCCTCTTGACCCATGTCTTCCATTTGCCCTCTTCTCCTCACATTCCTATCCCACTCATCTGTACTTCCCACCTGAGTGAGCATGGGAACACACCTATGTAAACTCCCTCCGCAGGCTTCAATCTATTCCCCTATCACATTATTTTAGTGAGTTGCTACATGAGTGTGAAAGCTGAACAATAAAAAAATGAATTTGGGGGGGGGGGGGGGACAAATTATCTGAAATATGCTGGAGTTCTACAGAGATAATAGACTGCAAAAATGCAGATAAAGAGGTCCAAGGACAAATCCAGCCTGAACTCTGGAGAGAAGCCAGGATAAATAAAGAATATTGCACTTTGGACATTTTATAAGAATGCATAACTCACTAGAAAAGGCAATAATTCTGATCCTGAATCTGCAAGGTCTGTTGATAGCAAGGTGATTTGGAGGTCTCCAATTCATGGGTCACTCTAAATAGAAACTGGCTTGAGGGCAATTAACACCCACAAGTTCTGTGCCAGTATGTGTCAGCCAATTTATGGTGACCAAATGATTTGCATACCGTTATCTGGGGTAAATCTACACAGTACAATTCATGCAGTTTGACACTACTTTAATTGCCATGCTTAATGGAATGGTAGCTTGACCAGTTCTTCAGCCTTCTCTGCAAAAGGATGCTGATGCCTCACCAAGGCCCCTTCCATGAAGCTGTGTAAACTCCACATTGAACTGGATTATATGGCAGTGTGAACTCAGATAATCCAGTTCAAAGCAGATATTGTGGGTTATTTGACTTGATATTCTGGGTTATGTTGCTGTGTGGAAATAATTAGGCGATCCCTCATTGTCCAAGTATGATGGCCCTCCAAGTGTTTGTCTTAGTGGTGGGTCTGTATGTGACTGTGGAGCCCTATTTTGGATCTGCATGTTCTTCTGCAGTGAGGGCACTGTTTTCCAGGCGGAAGGCGGTCCTGGTCAGGGCTGGTTTGACGCGTCTTCTTCTTCATGCGTTTCTCCCTTTTGCCCTCCATTCGTGCCTCTTCAAATTCCACAGCACTGCTGGTCACAGCTGGCCTCCAGCTAAGAGTGCTCAAGGGCCAGGGCTTCCCAGTTCTTGATGTATCTTCTGGAATACCAGTATTTACAGAATACAGGAATACCAGTATTTTATTTCCCACCCTTTTCCACACCATATCCTCAAGTTGTTGAATTTTTCTGCCCACCAACATTCTGTTTTCTGTTCTTGAATAGAAAGTATAGTAACTGCTTTGGGAAACAGTGATCGGGCATTTGGACAACGTGGCCAGTCCAGCTGAGTTGATGACAGAGAAGCACCACTTCAATGCTGGTAGTCTTTGCTTCTTCCAGCACTCTGACATTTGTCCACCTGTCTTCCCAAGAGATTTGCAGGATTTTTCAGAGGCAATACTGATGGAATCATTCCAGAAGTTGAGTGTGATGTCTGTAGACAGTTCATGTTTCACAGGCGTATAACAAGATTTCGAGGGCAACGGATTTACAAACAAGCACCTTGGTAGTATCTCTATTAATGTCCCAATCCTCAAACACTTTCTGCTTAATTGGGAACAATACTGCACTTGCAGAGATCAGGTAATGTTATATAGTACAACTACCTTGAAGCATGGCAGTTAAAGTAGTGTCAGTCAAAGTGCTCAAACCCAAACTGCATATGCACCCAAAGATCCTGTGGCTTCCGATTAGATCTGTGGTTCTCAGTCTGTGGGTTCCCGGATGTTTGGGCCTTCAACTCCCAGAAATCCTAACAGCTGGTAAACTGGCTGGAATTTCTGGGACTTTAATGTCATTGCCTATGCATGCCCCCATTTTTCATCTTTAAGATGTTAGGAGCTATAAAGCATATAATTTTTACAATGATCAGGCAAGATAAAATACAGAAAGTTTCCATCCCTTCATAAAAGCTCTAGAACAGTGGTTCTCAACCTGTGGGTCCCCAGATGTTTTGGCCTTCAACTCCCAGAAATCCTAAGAGCAGGTAAACTGGCTGGGATTTCTGGGAGTTGTAGCTCAAAGCACCTGGGGGCCTACAGGTTGGGAACCACTCGATTAGATAAAAACAAAAAAACGCGGGAAGGCGAGCATGGAGCATTTCCAGAATGTACACAAGCCCTGAGTGGGCATTCCCATCCCTGGCCCCACCCCCTCGGCTACCTGCGGGTGGGCGGGGCTCCCGAAGTACGTCACCGTCCGCGTGACGCCCGCGCGCCACCCGAAGGCCCCGCCCCCTCCTCCCCCTCGGCACGCCCCCGTCACGCGCCGGCCCCGCCCCCTCCTCACCATCCTGAGGCGTCCGCCCAACGGCCGCTCTCCTCAGGCCGCGGGGCTCCCTTGTCAGGATAGTCCGACCTCGAAGCTGCTGAGACGTCGACTCACGCACAGCCCTCCTTTCTCCTGGGTGTTCGTTTCCTAATTCCCTTCCCTCTCGAGCGGGTAGCAAGCAGGGAAGAGAATTTAGCAGAGTTCTCGGTCAGAGAAGCGGACCACGCAGCGGGCGTTACTGCGAGCGCGGCGTACGGCAGCCATTTTCCCAGCGAGCGCGTGAAGGAGCGGCAGCAGCGCGCGAGAGAGCCTCACTCAACCACCGACCGCCTCGAGCTGAACGGCCGTTCCGAGTAGACGAGGCGCACTGCTAGGGAGTTTGCGCATGCGCAGAGAAAGGCGAGCCCGAAGGAAGGAAGTGCCCCTGCCGGAGTTCGCTCCGCTCTGATTGGCTAGGTGAAGGACTCAACGGAAGCGTCGTCGCAGTGGATTATGGGCCTCGTAGTTTGGAGAGTTGAAGCTGAGGCGATGCGTTCCCTCATGCTGTGCGCGTGTTTGCGCTTTTAAGTGGAGAAGAATGGCAGCTCTCGTGACGTGGGCCTCGTGCATTGGTTGGCCTCCTGTCAACAGTGCTGCTTCCCATGTATTTCGTACTCTGGGTTGTTGTAGGTTTTTTCGGGCTATATGGCCATGGTCTAGAGGCATTCTCTCCTGACGTTTCGCCTGCATCTATGGCAAGCATCCTCAGAGGTAGTGAGGCCTGTTGGAACTAGGAAAAGGGGTTTATATATCTGTGAAATGACCAAGGTGGGACAAAGGACTCTTGTCTGCTGGAGCTAGGTGTGAATCTTTCAACTGACCACCTTGATTAGCATTTGATGGCTTGGAAGTGCCTGGGGCAATCTTTTGTTGAGAGGTGATTAGATGTCCCAGATTGTTTACTCTTCTGCAGGAGTCTACCATATACCATGCAGTTGTGGACAAGTCTACATAGGGACCACCAAACGCAGCATTGGCCAAACACGAATCAAGGAACATGAAAAGCACTGCAGACTACTTCAACCAGAGAAGTCAGCCATAGCAGAGCACTTGATGAACCAACCTGGACACAGCATATTATTTGAGAACACAGAAATGTTGGAGCACTCTCACAACCATGTCAAACTACACAGAGAAGCCACTGAAATCCACAAGCATGTGGACAATTTCAACAGAAAGGAGAAAACCATGAAAATGAACAAAATCTGGCTACCAATATTTTAAAAAACTCTAAAATTACAACAGCAAAACAACAGAGAGGAAATAATCTGGGACATCTAATCACCTCAACAAAAGATTGCCCTAGGCACTGCCAGGCCTTCAAATGCTAATCAAGGTGGTCAGTTGAAACATTCACACCTAGCTCCAGCAGACCAGAGTTCTTTGTCCCACCCTGGTCATTTTCCTAGTTACAACAGACCTCACTACCTCTGAGGATGCTTGCCATAGATGCAGGCGAAATGTCAGGAGAGAATGCCTCTAGAACATGGCCATATAGCCCGAAAAAACCTACAACAACCCAGTGATTCCGGCCATGAAAGCCTTCGACAATTTTGTACTCATTGGCAAGGAAGGCTCGGGCTGCATCATCAGATGTGTCCACTGGATTGAATGCAGTTTATAAACTGAATAATATAACTTTATTTCTAACCCCAGTTTGATCTCCATTTGAACTGCCACGGCTCAATGGGAAGCACCAGCCCTCTGGCAGAGAAGGTTAAAGACCCTATGAAACTACAAATCCCAGAGGTTTCCTCCCATGATAGTTAAAGTGGTGGCAAAGTATATTAATTCTGCCATCCCTCAGATGGGATTTTCCCATTGCCTTCCTCTGAAATCCAGCAAAGAGAAACCATACAAAAGCTGTGTCTTCACTGCAGAAGTGAAGCGGTTTAGCACTGCTTTAATGGTGCTCCATTCTGTGGAATCCTGGGAACTGTAGCTTTACACGGCATTTAATAAGAATATTAATAATAAAACTTTATGTACCTTCGTATCTCCCCGAAAGGACTCAGGGAGGTGAACAACAAGATCGGCAAACATTCAATGCTGTACAGTAAACACAATAAACATTATTGTACCCATCCCACTCAAATCCCAAAACAAATACACATTTATGTATATCAAAAGTAATCATTAAAACATAGCATATAAAAATTACAATTCCATAATTTAGCATCTACCAAAAAGAGTTGTTGTGTTATCAAACTGCAACCCCCCAGAATCCCATCGAATTGAGCCATGGCAGTTTATTTATTTATTTATTTATTTATTTGGAGTGCTTCTACCCTGCCCTTCTCAACCCCCTAGGGGGGACTCAATACAATAACAGCAATAAAATCATCTTGTGGTCAATGTTCGCGGATTTATAAATTCATAATCCATCCAGCATTGTCATTGTCCTTTCCTGCTCTGGTTGTCATTGTCCTTTGTCCATCTGCCAGCTTACCCGAAGGCCTGGACCCAAATCCGGGTTTTTAACTTCCTCCTGAAGGAGAGGAGGGAAGTTGATGACCTAATTTCCCCAGGGAGAGCATTCCACAGGCGAGGGGTCACCACCGAGAAGGCCCTGTCCCTCGTCCCCACCAGTCTCACTTGTGATAAAGGTGGGGCCGAGAGCAGGGCCTCCCCGGAAGATCTTAAACTCCGAGGTGGGACGTAGAAGGAGATACGTTCGGACAGGTACACTGGGTTAAAGCGGTGTCAAATGGCACCATTTCTGCAGTGTACTCTTGTGTTGACTGATGATTGCTATTCTGTCACTCTTGTTCTTATATTTTAGGGCCCATCCACACAGCTGTATAAAATCCCACATGTTTCTGCTTTGAACCGAGTTATATGGCAGTGTGAACTCAGGTAAACCGGAACAAAATAGATATTGTGGATTATCTGCCTTGATATTCTGGGTTATATGATTGTGTAGAAGCCCCCCTACTTAAACCCTGTGTTTGAAACTCACTGAGGGGCTAAGCGCTAGGGCCCTTCCACACAGCTATATTACTCAGAATATCAAGGAAGAAAATCCCACAATATCTGCTTTGAATTGGTTATCTGAGTCCACACTGCCATATATACCTGGGCCCTTCCACACAACCCTATATCACAGAATATCAAGACAGAAAATCCCACATTATCTGAGTGTGGACTCAGATAATCCAGTTCAAAGTAGATATTGTGTGATTTTCTGCCTTGATATGCTGGGATATAGAGCTGTGTGGAAAGGTTCCCAGTTCAAAGCAGAAAATGTGAGTTTTTATTCAGCTGTGTGGAAGAGGCCCTAGTAAGCTTTGCCATACATAGGGTAGTGGTTGGAGCTTTGGACTACGGGTGCCTTTACACAGTAGAATGAATGCAGTTTTAATACCACTTTAACTGCCATGGCTCAGTGCTGTGGAATCCTGGGATTTGTAGTATGGTGAGGCACCAGCCCTCTTTCGCAGAGAAGCCTGAAGACTTTGGAAAACTACAACACCCGGGATCCCATAGCATTGAGTCACAGCACTTAAAGTAGTGTCAGCGTGCATTACTTCTACAATGTAGATGTATCCCACGACTCTGGAGGCCAGGATTCAGAGACCTTGTTCAGCTGATGTGCAAATCACATTCACTTAGTCAAAGAGTAAGGCAATGGCAACCTCCCTCTGAGCAAATCTTGACAAGAAAACCCTGCGATGGGTTTGCTATAGGTTGAGAATGCTATAGGTTGAGAATGACTCAAAAGGCACACAACAACAAAGTGGACCAATTTGTCAGTTTTCTAGGCCTGTTTTTTAAAAGCCCGTAAGAGGGAGCTGCTGAGCTGCTTTCACCAGGGAAAGCTCCTGGTTGTCCCTGCGATGTGGCTGCCTTTTTCTTTTGTGCGTATATATGTGTGTGCGTTTTCCTGGTTGGGTGGCGGAAACCTCCTCCTTGCCCATCTGAGCAATGAGTCTGTCCCAAGAGTGGCTTCCTCCTGATGGAAGAGACTACAGCTTCCAATAGCACGGTTTGTATCAGCTCTCTATTAGATTTTGATGTAGTTTTTTCTCCTCTTTTTCGAAAGGCTCAGTTTCCCCAATTACAGGACTTGCAAGGTCCTGAAAGGCAGAAAGTGGGTCTAAATGGGCTTCCTTTGGAGCATTGGCAGAGGCAGGACGTATCATTCCTCAGACATGACAAAATCCGAGGAAGCTCTTAGCAAAGCAAATTAATCCTCAGATTTTGTTTCATGTCCAGAATCCATAGTCTTGCTTCCAGGCCTGGCTAAATGGAAACTTCGGTCGTTGTTTACATCTTCAATCATGGATGCTTTTTTGCTTTAAAAGTTTAGATGTTGATGCTGCTAGATAGAAGAGGCCTAAAACTTGCTGCATGTAAGGGTACTTATGATTAGACCATATAGGCTCTCTGGGAAAGACAAGAATGTAATTTTAAGTTTTCTCCTTCAAAAAAATACACTATAGCTTTTAGATTTGTTGATATTACAGGTTAAATATCTCTTATCCAAAAAACTTTGGACTAGAAGTATTTTAGATTTTGGTTCTTCTCAGGATTTTGGAATTCCTATGATTGCATGTTTGTACATCATTAGATATCTCGGAGATGGGACCCAAGTCTAAACATGAAATTAATTGGTATTTCTTATACACGTAGTATGAAGATAATTTTATACACAACATTTTTAATTTTTAATAACAAGCACCAAGCAAAGTTTGTGTACATTCAACCATCAGAAAGCAAAGATGTTACTATCTCAGATACCTACGTGTACAATTTTGAATTTTGTAATATTCTGAATTTTAAGAATCCAAAAAAGCTATGCTCAACCTGTACAATTGACAGTTGACGATTTAAAAAAAATCTAAAATTTAATTTTATTGTCTTTCATAGTCACAAACATTTTTTAAAAAAAGTAGCATTTACATTTTCAAAAATAATTTGGAGAATAGCACAGTATTCTATTAATTTTATTTTTTTATTTTATAATTTTATCTAAAATAATACTATATGTTATCTTCCACATACAATACAAATGGTTGTTGTTTTAACTTGGATGTAAATTTATGTGATTTAGCAGTCAGATTTGCGCTGTTGTTTAGAAACTAATTGGAAGGCTCTCAAAGGAAGACTTGCAATCAGCTGCCCCACATCTAAAACCTGATTGTGGTAATGTTACAGTAAAAGGTGTTATTTCTGGCTCCTTCCATACCGCTGTATAAAATTCACATTGAACTGGATTATCTGGCAGTGTGGGTTCAGATAATCCAGTTCAAAGCAGATATTGTGGATTATCTGCCTTGATATTCTGGGTTATGTGGCTGTGTGGAGGGGCTCTCTATTTACAGATGCACAAAATGCATAGTTTAAGAATGGTGGTTCAAAAGATTTGTCTGCCATAAGTTGGCCAAAAAGCTTTTCATTAAAGGATACTATTGGAAATTTGACAACTGAATTCAGCAACCCTTCTTCTAGAATAGCATGTGTTTGGTTGACTAACTCTTATGCTGACCCAGATTCCTAACAAGCAATCAAACTTTAAGTTGCCTTATCAATATCATGGGTTTCAATTTAACCTTGGTTAAGATAAAAGATAAAGAGCTAGTACCTTCTGTTTCATCTCCATTGTATATAGTGAATATCCTCTATGCTTGGTGACACATAAGGCCAAACAAAGACCATCTGGTATGTATAGAAGGGAGAGCCTGAGATCTCAAGTAACTTCCTATTTTAGCTGGTTCTCTGGGGACTGTCTAATACTTTGTAGGCTTGAATAGATTCATAATAAATTATATTTAGCTTCTTTAAATGACCAGAATTGTATCTGTCTGGGGTTCAGAAATAAGACTTGGCTGGTTACTAATAACTGTCCCATTTTTCAGACAGGAAGGCAAACGTATTTGCAAAAATCCAGCTAGACATATCATTTGCAGTTAAGGCATCACAGCCATCTGTTTTTGTTCTGCTCTTCATCTGCAAAACATCTTACTGGTGGCAAAGTTAAATTCAGCCTTATACCTTAGCCCATCTGTTATCAAGAGATCAATATATTCCAAGTGGGGTTTTGTAAGACTTTCAGTCTCCACTGTAAAAGTTTCATCGTCCTCATGTAGAACTAGCTGGCACAGACATCAAGAATTAGTCTTTTAATTTTTTCTGAAATGTCTTAAAACAGCAGGTGTTGTTTTAGGTTTGTTTGTTTTTAATTATTATTGTTGTGTTGCATATTTCTGCTATCCCATATCTCACCTGAAGAAGTAAAAATAAAATAGCAGCCAACAAGTTTATTTATTTATCCTGAGTTATCCCTAATGTAAATTTATGTGATGGACTGGGCTCTCTTTTTTCCCTGCATTGATTCTTAGCTGTTTCAAAGACACATACTGTAGATAAACCTGTGAGTACGTAACCATTGTTACTTGAAGTTTCTTCAGATACGCATGCTAGATATTCCAGGATGGTCTAATTAAATTCTCTTTAAATACATGAACATTGCAATTAAATACAAATTGAGCTCCCCTTATCCAGTGTTCCAAAATTTAAAATACTCCAAAATTACCTACATAGTGGCTGAGATAGTGACAGTTTATTAGCCATTCAGTTTGTACAAACTTTGTTTCATGCCCCAAATTGTTAAACATATTGTGTATAAGGTTAGCTTCAAGCTATATATATTAGAAATTGAAAATGAGCTAAATTAGATTTAGGTCCCATCTCCAAGATATAGCGTATATGCAAATACAGGTATTTCAAAATCCTTTTGGGCCAAAGTATTTTGACTTAGGAATACTCAGCTTGTAACTTTGCTTAGCTTTCAAATAAATGAATTTGCTTGGCCCAAAAAGAAAGGACCGAGCATTTAATATACTAAAGAAAAATGCTTATTTGTTTATTTTGCCCCTTGCTTCTTAATTTTGAGATGGTGGCACTTGCTGCCTTAATGTTACCTCCTTTAAAATATTTCTATTACATCTTTGAAAATTTAATGTGATTAACTTGCATTTATCAAAAATTTTGTTGGAATATTTTAAGAAATTTACTCCCAAGTAAATGAATTCAGGATTGTGCCCTAATTTACCAGTATATTGCACTCTTTTTTTAGTCCCACTTGTTTTGAGCATTTGAGTGCTCAAATATTGTTCTGTTGAATTGTCTGCAGTGAAGCATCCAGGACTTTGTTGTATGAAAGGAAATTATGGTTTCCAAACAAAGGCTGCTGTGTGAGCAATGGACACTATGCCAGAGGGACTTCCTGATCCACCATTGTTCAGTTGCAGCTCAGCTTAGAAGTTCATGGCTAGAACTAGCCAAAAACAGATTCCTGGACTAGACAGCTCATTGTATGAGGATTTCCAAAGTAACACAGGGAAGAGAAGAAATACATACAATCTCTTCTGCGGAAATCAAGTAACCACAGCCCCTTTTAACACATAGTGGGCCATGTTAAAGCTCTGTCTGCCCTCATTACCAGAGATGGCTCTAACTGTGTCAAGATCTGCCCTATATGCTCTGTGTGCCTGTATGCATGTGCTTCCTTACACATACCCCAAATACAATGTGACATGGGTACAACAGGATTGCTTACTCTCGTTTCCTGCCTGCAGCCCTCTGTGCTGCATGAAATCACGCTCTGGAGTCTTTGTTCAGTGCTTCTGATGTGTACTGTGAGACCACAGGGAAAAGAAAATGCAGCCCTTTTTGCAATTTTGTTAATGTCAACGTCAGAAGAAAATGTGCAAACCCAGTAATGGCCATAATTTTGTGAACAAAGTCAGAATAAATAGCATCATGCATCACCTCTCATAAGTACAGTTTGTTTGCATAGTCCCATGTATGCATCCCTTCAAAGGCAGGTGGCAATATTACTGTTTTAGCAGCCTTCTATTTAAATGTTGCTAGTGGGGGGTTTTTTAATCAAAAATATTTGCTTGCTTTTACCTCACTCTGGCAAGCACATTAAAATACATCTTCAGTAAATAAAATCCAATGTCACAACAATAAATATGTTGAAAAGTTATAAACAGCTTATATAGCAAATCCACTGCTCCAGGTCAGGGGATTCTGGATAATCTCTTTAATAATGGAGGATGACACAGAGTCCTTGTAGCAAGAGGAAAAATTAACACTTGGGTATGTGAAATTTCCAAGTGTTTCATTTTGCTAGCAGTATCTTTTTGATACTGAAGAGGAGAGAAGGAGTATCCTCACGTTACATTAAGATCATATTAAACCTTCCTGTAAGCGAACTCACCTAATCTTGAAGAATATGATTGGCATATGGTAAATGAGAGGGAAGAAGAAGTTTCTTTTTTATCTCTGTTCTGTAATTGAGCTGAGTCCAGCTGGTCATGTTAATAATCCCGGTATATCAAATCTCTTAGAATCAGATTAATCTTTAGTCCACAGTGCACTGTGAAAACTTGACGCTTCTGTGTCTGTCCGTAAAAAAAGTAAAATCTTTAGCTGTTTTTCGTGCTGTGAGAAATTTGTAGCAATGGAAAGTATTGAACTGAACACACAGTACTAGGTTCTTATCTTCTTCCCGAATCCCTTCCAGTTCATGTGTATTTGTGCTTATCACCAATATGATATTAATTTATGGTGCTAATGCAATTTGCAGGAAGCAGTTCATGTGGACCATTGACTGGTTGCAAACACATTCTAGTTCAAGCGTCAGCCATAATGTTATTCTTGGCCCAGATGAGTACAGAACATGATGGGAAGCCACACTGCAGACAACTTTTCTCAGACGCTTGAGCCTGGGAAAACTATTATAATTTTTCTATCTTTTTTTACAGACCAAAAGCTAATCCTGAAAAATATGAGCCCTGAGAACTCTCATGCAGCCCTGGAGATTTTGTGTTTGTGCTGCCATCGGAAAAACTGGCTTCGCTCTGAGGAGAAATGGTTCAGCTGTAGTTAAGTGCACTCTGAAAATGAAATGAGCTGGCACTCTGAGGGATCTCCATCATGAACAGATATACAACCATCAAACAGCTGGGAGATGGTACATATGGCTCTGTCCTCCTGGGAAGAAGCAATGAATCAGGGGAACTGATTGCCATTAAGAGGTAAAGAATAATTGTGTTGTAGATGGTGCGAACACCATACCATGGGTGTTATGTCTTCAGGGTTCCAAAAATCGAAGTTTCTGGACAATAATTCCAGAATCCCCAGTCAGCTTAGCATCCAGAAACTTGACATCGTATTTCTGGGTTCCTGAACATATTTTAACTGTTTAGAAGAATCATGTTCCATTTTTTTTGTTTGACAGAGGGCTATAGTTTCAAACATTCCAGTTTCAAAAGAAAATCTGATTCATTGCACTCCTGCCTTTTTATGTCATTCAAGTTCTGTCATATTTGATAGGCTGCAACAAGGGTTGTGTGCTTGTTAACCGTTCTGCAGAACATAAATATTGTGCGAAAAATCCAGATTCCCAGAAATCTCTGTTTTTAAAGCAAGCTTCTTGTTTGTAGGGTCCAAAAGCCAAGAAATTCTTTAAAAAAGGAAAGAAAAAGACAAACCATATGAAAACTAAAAAATAATAATAGATAGGATTTCGGGACTCAGGTGCAGTTCTTTCTGTCTAGAAAAGACCTGTGGGAAATGTTTATCTTTGACAGAATCAATTCTTCAAAATATGATTGCATTCACAAGTATGTATAGGCAAACACACGCAAACATAAACACAGCTATAACCAATTGGCATACTGTAATCTTATCTCTCCAATTTACCATATGGCTTGAGATGAGATTTTGACTAATATTGCAGTGGATGTGCCATTTGTGTACAGTGTGTGACCTTTTACATAGCCTGTCAGGAATACAGCATGTCAGAAATAAAGGGATAATTGGAAATATTACAAAAAGTATTGTATTTGTATGTGAGGAGTGGGGGTATGCGTTCAAATCAATATGCACTGTAAGAGGAAGAGTCTTTATATTTACTTGACAAGGTTTTGATATTTGCCCAGATATTATTTATTGCCTCCAATGCTCTGCATCATTTGGGTCATTATTCTATTTCTTATTCATGCAGCGTTCTGCATGTTTTGGTGACTACAAATTACTAGAATTCCAGAAGCATTTCTAATGTAATATTAGGCACAATTTAGCAGTGTTCTTGGTGAAACAACATATGGTAGCAGATTATCAGTAATTGCATATGTCAGTACAATTATAAGGTGTTCAGTGGCAATGGTATAGATTTTAATTTGTGTTTTTTTAAAATAGTGACTGCAAAGATGTCATATTTCAGCATAATATCATTAGTTTTATACCATCCATCAGTGCACAATTAAAAACTGGGATATGTGTGGCTGAGTGATATAAGTCAAGATGGCTAAAGTTATTAATGGGGAAGAATAATTAAGTTGGGAGAGGCTGAAGCAGCCACCTAGGAAGGGCTAGATACCTTGCACTCCATTCCTCTCCTTGCCGCTGATTTTACTAAATGCAGACTACTTTGGAACTTTGAACTCATTTTGAAGCAATTGAAATAAACAAGGATGGAGAAAGTAGAAGGAGATAGGAACTGAGCCATTGTAAAAACAGATGAAACTGAGCCATTTTAAAAACAGAGGATTTGCTTGGACAGTGTGAGAGTGTGCCATTTCTTTTATTTGCTTGTTTGCTTGTGTGTTTGTTTTTTGTAGAAAGTGAAATACATTTTCTAGTATGTTTTCTTCAGTTAAATCTTTTCATATTTTACTGCCTTAGAACAAGTCAGAGAAAGCATCTTATCCAAATTACACCTTCAGCTCTGGGAATTATGCAAGATGATGTTCTTACCAATGTTTGGAAAATTTATATTTTTGGAATGCACCTCCAGAATCCTCCAACTAGAATGGCTGTAGTCCAAATATTTTAAAGCCATGACACTTATTGAATACATTGAATATGAAAAAGGGGTTCTGGGAAAATGAGATACTGTTCTTGCAAGATCCCATGTTGATAGAGAGTTCTTATCTTAATTTTCATTTGGAAGCTGGGAGTTGAAATTACTAGAGAGGGAGAACTTTGTATGTGAAATGAATGTAGTTAACCCTCTGCATTTGGTGAGGAATATTTTGAGGGTGTACAATGTGTGTATTATTTTAAAGGCCAGCATTTTAATAAGATACGAATATTTTTAATCAAAGGGTATCTGTGTCCAAATATCCATAATATGGAAAGAAGACAGAAACAGCCCAGAAGACAGAAATGGGCAGAGCACAAAATAGCCTCTGATGTCTTTAATAACATATAATACAAATGTGTGCTTTAATAGAACTACAATAAAGAATAGATTTCTAGTTATATTAAAACAAGCTAATTCAACCCTGTTCTGTTATCATTCTGTTATTTTGTACAGTTCTAAACAACAAAACAACCCTTTGTATCTGCTGACTTTATTAGCCTTAATCAACAGTCTTCTCAGCCATCCAAAATAAAAAGAGATTTTTGTTTTCTAGTTTAAATGTAGAAATAACAATACCTTTTCAGAATTCTGCACCTTTGTGATATGTGAAGGCTTTGGGGGCTTATCCCATGTGTGCTATGCTCTCCCCTCTTAACACATTTGAACAGCAAATCTTCAAACTGCATGCTAATCTGCTGAAAATCCCATTGGTATCAAAAGTGGATTTCCATGTGATAATGTTTACTGTTATTTCAGAAACATAAGCCCCAGCCTCTTGGGACATGGGGAACTTACTGGACAGTTTGATAAATATCAGGCATGAAATAAGCACAATCTGGTTATTGTAGACTTTTGTGTATTCATTCAGCTTTACATTGCAATGGACTACAATCCAAATGGTATCAAATTGTTGGGTGATATCAATTTCTTTGGTGATTTACAGGATGAAGAGGAAATTCTACTCTTGGGAAGAATGCATGAATCTTCGTGAAGTCAAGGTATTTGTTGTTCCCGTCTGTTTGCAGTACAGAGAATTTACATTCTACAATGGTATATTTCCTTTTAAGGGTTGTGCTGTATCAAAACTTATTCTTTCTTTGGCTAAAATTTCCTTTTAACAAGCCTTCCATGCAATGAGACCTATGAAATTGCTCTTGCAAGCAATACTTTAAAATTGTACAAGGTTATTTGGAAGTGCAGTGGTCCCTTGGTATCTGCTGGGCTTTGCTTTTTGGAAGCCCCAGGGGAGACCAAAAGCCACGAGTGTTTAATCCCATGATATACAATGCTGTTGTAAAACGGCACCCTTTCTATAAAATGGCAAAATCAAAGTTTGCTTTTTGGAAAACCTTTTAAAAATATTTTCTAGCTGTGACCAGTTTAATCCATAGATAAAGAATTCATGCATATGGGCGGCAGAATGTATTTGAAATGTGTAACCTTGTTGTTTCATTTTGGGTGTTCATAAATGGGTCAAATTCAGCAAGTCAACAATAGTAGTTTAACTTGGCAACTGAACAGAACAGCATATGGGAAAGACATGTCTAAGAGCCACCAAAAGTAAGGGAAAATATAAAATGATGTAATTTATAACTTGTCTTATTGTGAACCATTTGGGAATAAGATCTGACAGAAATCTGGGATCTAATTTTTGTGGTCACCTGGACAGATCCATCAGAATTAGTTTAATTAATATTTTATCACATTTAATCAACTTTTGTGAAGAGATAGATAAATGTAAAATGCTGCTTTGTTAGCTATCATCTCAACTGATTTATGAATTTGTTGTGCTGATTAAGGACATCTTATCTCTGATTTTAAAATGGCAATGCTACTGACCAGCTTGGTGGGATTGTTGTGAAATAGCAGTTGGCACATTCACAACATCCTCTGTATGACAGTGTGGTTTTGTTCGACTATTACTGATTATTACTGGCCAACATCCATTTTGCTGCCTCAAATGTTAGACATATTTCTGGGTATATTTGACCTGCTGGTTCCAAAAATGGCACCAGTTTCCCCTGATCAGTTCTCGTTCTCAAGATTCAGAACATAATGGCATCTAACAGTCGCCAACTGCTTGCCCTTAGAAAACATGACAACCATCTCTTAGAAACTAGAGCTGATGCAATCTATCCAATGCAATTTTCTGAATTAGTGCCCCAAATAACCCCAGGCAAGGTAAAGGTAAAGGTAAAGGTTTCCCCTTGGCATTAAGTCTAGTCATGTCCAAAGAGCCGGAGTTGTTCATAGACACCTACAGGGTCATGTGGCCAGCATGACTACATGGAGCACCATTACCTTCCCGCAGAAGTGGTAGCTATTGATCTACTCACACTGTTATGTTTTTGAACTGCTAGGTTGGCAGAAGCCAGGCCTAACAGCGGGAGCTCACCCTGCTCCCCAAATTCAAACCACTGACCTTTCAGTCAGCAAGTTCAGCAGCTCAGTGGTTCCTCCCTTCCTACTTCCTAGTGCTTCCCATATATCAAAATCAATGTTTTTAATAAGAGGAGGAGAGAAAGAGAGAGGAGGCGGCTTGAGTTTGTCTGTGGCTGCCAGTTATGTTTAAAATTATTTTGGAAAGCATTATTTTAAAATAATGCCAATTATGTAAGCTGCTCCTGAGTTCCATTCGGGGTGAGAAGGGCAGGATATAAATGTCATAAATAAATAAATCCGCTGTGCTACCAGGGGGCCTAAAAAACCCCAGGAACAGACGTAAAAACCAACACACCAAGACTTTTGTTGTTGTTGGGCCATGTAATTAAAGAGACCTGATTTAACTTGCTGGTACTTAATGAATACACCATGAGTGTATTAGGAAGATACGAAAAAGAAATCCTTGAAGTTGTGTTCCTAGTCCAAAGTTTGTGCTGAGAAGAGGGTATAACTGGGTTGATAGTCCATGAGCAGATATTGCAGGTAATTTCTGAAAACTGGACCTTCGTGCTGTGGGAGAACAGTTTGTGCAAACCTGCTTGTTATCAAAACAAGCTAGAATCGCCAGGCTAGAAGAATTTTGTGTAAATTTGACTCTAGCAGTCTTTTTTTCAAAACAAAACAAAACAACCAGGTTTAGCACATGTTTAATGGAGTCTTTGTTTTCTCTACTGTTTCCAGTCCTTGAAGAAACTCAGCCATGCCAACGTGGTGAAACTAAAGGAAGTTATCAGAGAAAATGATAATCTGTACTTTGTGTTCGAATACATGAAGGAGAATCTTTATCAGTTAATGAAAGAAAGGTATGCTGGTTTTCTCACACAGGCCTTGCAACACAATTCTCTCAAAATTAAGTTATAATTAAACTTGTGCAGCTATTCTTATCTATCCTGCATTTGTAATACATCATAGGCATGAGTGAAGATCACAAATTCCATATGTGAATATAAACCTCCCCCTATCTCCCCTACAGGAACAAATTATTTCCAGAATCTACTGTCAGGAATATTATGTATCAAATTCTTCAAGGACTTGCATTCATACACAAACATGGTAAGACCTAAATGCCAGTTTGGATGAATGTCTATGACTATGGATATCATAACAGATGCAGACAAATATTTTAAATATTTGACAATCTTGTGTATGTGTGTATTGCTTCATATTGCCTATCAATTTAGGACAGCCCTGTGGATTTCATAGGGAGTCTTAGGCAAGGAATACTCAGAGGTATTTTGCCACTTTGCTCCACCAAAATAGATCTGATATCCCTAGGCTATCTCCCATCCAAGTACTACCCAGAAATTACCCTGCTTAGATTCCGGGCCCTAGATATTTATTGTATTTGAATAGGTTACATGCCTTTTTATTCATTGGCCACCCATATTTTGTGAATGACACTTTCATTGAACTAAAGATTTAGCCATTCAATAGAATTTTTACCACAGTATTAAACTCAAGCCTAATGGAAATCCAATAATGTTTTGTCAAATTGTGATGACCAGAACAAGTCCTAGATTCAAGAAGATAAAGTTCAGTCCTCAACTTTGGTCCCAAAAAGTGTTTATTAAAATATTTATTTATGCCTATTATATTCCTATTAAATCTTAACAGGGTTGGCTTCTAGTTAAGCTTCTAGTTAAGCATGTATAGAATTGTACTGCTTGAAATGGTATATGTTAAGGCAGTTCTACTGTTAAAGTGACGCTTATTCCTTTTTTGGGGGTCATGGATTATTAACCCAGGCAGGAACTGTTCAAATAAAGCTGTTAAGATTGCCTTGCTGAGAAATTATATTGCTAGGGGCAGCAAGAGGCCTGTTATGTCTCAAAAGCAAATGTAGGACACAACCACTCTGTAATTATAAAAAAATTATACAGAATTATTTCATGTTTTAATACCTTCCTTGAACATTTTGTACTGTACAATTGGAAATATGATTACTGTCATTCTCATTGTTTTCTGTATGTTCAAAAAAGAGGAAAGAAGAAAAAGACGTGTTTATCTTTACTTCTAATCTGCTAATCTTCATCTCATAACATAGAGCATAATTAGAGGAGAATACTTGATTCTTTAAAAATTATCTTTTAACATCTTCATTGACTCAAGTGAAGTATGGGATACTCATAGTAATGAATAAAAGTATCAGGTGTCACTTGTTCTAAAGCTGGATTTGAGCCTTACCCCACTTCTGAAACTCAAAATAGTTTTCGTTCAGTGAAAGCAAAACCAATGATTTGGTGCAACATCTATTTCTAATTAGTGGCTCCTGTGTAAATAAATTGTGTCCAAATGTTTTTAAGTTGACTGTGGTGCAACACATTCTATAGACTATAGGTATTTGGTTATAGATGGTCTCAGATATATATGGCATGCTGCATTTTTTAGCAAAATGGACTATTTGGTAGAATTGTATTCTTTCTCCATACCATCCAAAGAGACCAAATACTGGTCTCTGAAGTAGTTAATTTCCAGAAAGATTTTGCCATATGATAATTTTCTCATCGGCTCTTTTTCAGACCTTAGCTTTTGGTCCAACTCTTTCTAATATTAAAACACAGTAGTTAACAAATACAGAAGAGTCTTGGATGTTTTTGTTATCGGTGCCTATTGGATTTATATTAAACAGAGATTTGTAGGGTAAATCTCCAAAAAATTAGAAAGAATCTAAAACCTACTAAGTCTCAGAACAGCTTAGTGTTGGCAAAATGCCTTGCACTAAATCTTCATCACTAGCTGGGCTTCCAGGTCATTCAATGTGACATCTAGGCATTTTGTTGTTTATTCGTTCAGTCGCTTCCGACTCTTCATGACCTCATGGATCAGTCCATGCCAGAGCTCCCTGTCGACCATACCTCCCCCCACCCAGCAGAGCTCCTTCAAGGTCAAGCCATTTACTTCAGGGATACCATCCATCTTGCCTTTGTTCAGCCAATCTTCTTTTTTCCTTCCATTTTCCTCAGCATCATTGTGTTCTCCAAACTTTCCTGTCTTCTCATTATGTGGCCAAAGTTCTTCATCTTTGCTTCTAATATCCTTCCCTCCAGTGAACAGTCGGGCTTCACTTCCTAAAGTATGGACTGGTTGGATCTTGTGGTCCAAGGCACTCCCAGAATTTTCCTCCAACACCACAGTTCAAAAGTGTCTATCTTCCTTTGCTCATCCTTCCTTATAATCCAGCTCTCGCAGCCATAGGCATACCAGATGCCATTCTCATCTTCTAACCATAAAAAGGCTCCCGACAGCAAGCTGTTCTTAGCACAGAACAAAGCATGTTGTTTTTCTTCTGGGTTTGTTATCAAAATTTATGTAGCACAGACATAAAAATGTGCAAGGAAATGAGAACAGAAGAAAGTAAAGATAGAAAGATGCCTTTTGTTTTGGACTCCAGGTTTTTTCCACCGTGACCTGAAACCTGAAAACCTCCTTTGCATGGGACCAGAGCTTGTGAAAATAGCAGACTTTGGCCTTGCACGGGAAATAAGGTCCAGGCCTCCTTATACAGACTATGTCTCCACAAGATGGTAAGTGTTTAGATTACGGTACAGAGTTGAAGATTCCCTTTGCTCATACCCTTCCTCAATATATTTTGCTGAACTTCTGTCCTTGATGCACATGATGCAATCGCATGCATATATTGAATCCAAGCCCTTAGAGGAGCTGCTTAGGGAACACGGTGTGTTAAACCTGGAGAAAAGGAGGCTGAGAGGGGACATAGTAGCCATGTTTAAATATTTGAAAAGATTTCACATTGAGGAGGGGGCAAGTTTGTTTTTGGCTGCTCTGGAGACTAGGACACAGAGCAGTATGTTTACATTGCAGAAAAAAGATTACACCTAAACATTAGAAATAACGTCCTGATGTTAAGAGCTGTTCAACAGTGGGGTATACTGCCTTGGAGTGTGGTGGAATCTCTCTCTCTTGAGGTGTTAAAGCAGAGGCTGGATGATCATCTGTTGGGAGTGCTTGGATTTGGCGTTTCTGCATGGCAGGGGGTTGGCCTGGATGGCCCTTGTGGTCTCTTCCAATTTCCTGATTCTGTATAGCGAGCGATTTTAGACCCACCCAATAAGAACGACAGAAACAGACCAAAAAAATGGCAGGGGGTACAGTATAGGCAGAAGATGCCCTCCTAAAAATCAGGCAGGGTTCAACCCATGGAAATGCTTTCCCTTGATTTTTAGATATCACTCCCTTTGCGTCATAACCTCCCACTGTGTGTTTTCCCAACTGAGATTTCTTCTGGCTCCTTCATCAGCAGGAAGTAAAAGCCATTGGACTTTGAAATACTCATGTGGATGAATATCTTCATTTGTTGTTTAGCCCTTTTTTCTCTTGCTTTGCCTATGATTTGGAAAAGTTGAGAAGCAGGGACAAATAAATGCAGACAAATTGAAAAAGAGAAATTCCTCATGTAACAATGTTGCAGTATCTTTCCCTGACCGTTGCTCAACTTGTAGGAAGCATTTTTTCAAGAATCCTTGTTGCTGTGCGGGCAGAGATAATGGACTTTGTTGTATTTACTTTCATCTAGTTCAAGTGTTGCTTTTATTCAGTTTAACATCTTGATTGGCATATTACAGTGTGCAAATTGATTTATTGTATATTGTTGTTTACTTATTTTTGGCTTTCAGGTACAGAGCTCCTGAAGTGCTCTTGAGATCCACTAATTACAGTTCTCCCATTGATATCTGGGCTGTTGGTTGCATCATGGCAGAAGTTTACACGCTCAGGCCACTCTTCCCAGGGGCCAGCGAAATTGATACAATTTTCAAAATTTGCCAAGTACTGGGAACGCCAAAAAAGGTATGTATGGAGAATCAGGTATTAAATGTGCGTGAAGGAGCACAATCATGAACATGTTCTCTGTTTCTTACCATCAAACATTAGTTGCAATATTTTGCTGGTGTTTGCCATTCTATTGTTCGATAAACAATCTCCAATTAGTGCAGTACTCCAATTGTGTGAGGAAAGGGAACTTTTTAGATGGGTCATTTATTAGAAAATCCCTCTGCATATGTTTTGGGACAGGATTAGTACACCTTTATTTGTTTTTTTATTCTATCATCAAGCATGCTGCTACAAGAGAAGAGCAGCTGACCATTAGTTGAATGCTAGAAGTCTGACTAGGGACCTTATTGCATTAAGATATAATCCATGCATTACTTATTTATTTAGGACCGGATGCATACTGTACTGAGGGCATGTATACTCTCCTCATCACACCTTATTATTATTATTCTTATTATTTGAAAATACTGAGCTTTGATTCATCACACCATGGAAGGCTGGCTCCTCCCAAACCATTAAAAACACCCCCTACATCATTCTGTGACCTTTTAAAAAGTATCACTGTTGATGGAACACATACAGATTTTCCTATCACACAGAAAAACAGCACTTCAGCAACGGAAGAATCGTATTTCAAAAAACACGATTAGAATTCTGTCTGTCAGTAATCTATTTCTGTGACATTTTGCAGATGGATTCTGACGGAATACTGACCGGATGGGGCAAATATCATGTGATGGGTCGCATTCAAAATCATTCTCTAATGGTCTCAGAAATGGAGTATTTCCTAATGTGATAAGTTCCTAGTCTTACTGTTGGCACTCAAAAAATGCTAGGGTTCCTGCTATTTAGCCTTTTTGTATAAAAGTGTTCTCAATAAATATAGTGTAAACAGTGTTTATTTGTTTACTGGGCTTGGCTTGGCTTGGCTGACTTGTTTGGTGAGGCCATGCCATTGGGACGGCAGTCGCCAGTAAAAGGGAAGGCATACAGCTCTGCCTCCTACGCCCATCATATGGTAGGGATGGGATAGGGTGCATTGATGCTCTGTCCCAGTCCCCATCAGATGGGAGAAAGGGCGGCAATGCGCATTGCCCCGTCGTCCTTTCCCTCAACATATGGGGAAAGGGGGAGGAAAGTGCAAGTAGCTCCATTGGAGCTACCAGAAAAACGCTTTCCTCCCTGTGGTGGAGGAGGAAGTATCTTCTGACACTTCCCTTCATTTAAAGAGGAATGTGGGTGGGACCTGCCGGGCATTTTCTGATGATGCTCAGCCAAAATCGTTAAAATGAGGTTATTTAGCCCCATGTGTTACTTTTCTTGGGGTTAAAAATAACTAAAGATCATTTGATCTTCTTTGGCGCTGAAGACTTGCTTGGTTCACGCCAGCCTCCGATTTACTCCCTTAGAATGTAAGCAAATCTACTCTGATACTACTGGCTTAAACATTAGACCTGTTTCTGGTTATTTGATCTGCCGATTCCAAAAATGGCACCAGATTTCCCCTATCAGCTCTAGTTTTTGAGATACAGAACATATACCATCTACCAGTCGCCATCTGATCACTTATAGAAAACCATAACGATATCTAAGAAACTAGAGCTGATGCTACCTATCCAATGCAATTTATAGACCCAAATAACCCCAGAACAGGTCCAAAAACAGGTCTACAAATCTAGGCATCAAGATGTTTGGGGTTGGGGCAGTATGGCAGAAAAAAACCTCCTGTGCATGTCTGCAATAACTACACATATATTCTTTGACATGCAAGGTACTTCAATCTTTTTCAGAATGACTGGCCTGAAGGCTACCAGCTTGCGGGCACCATGAATTTCCGCTGGCCTCAGTGCGTACCAAATAACCTGAAAACCCTCATCCCTAATGCAAGCAGTGAAGCAATACAACTCATGAGAGACATGCTGCAGTGGGACCCCAAAAAAAGGCCAACAGCAAGCCAGGTTTGTTTTCCCTTTATAGTTCCATCTTTATAAGTCATTTACTTGCTTATCACACACTTGCTTATTTGGAAGTTCCGACCATAAAGGATGAGAAGGAGCCAAACATTTCTCCAAATATTTCTGGTTTGGCCAATACTTGCATTGCTTTTGCTATCAGTCAGAATCTTATTTCTTCCCTTGGCTCTGTTATACCCAATTTTTAGAAAAGGGTCACATGAAGCTGACATGTGTGCTTGTGCCAGAAATGTATTTCTGCTTAAAATCAGGTAGGGGGAAGCATTTTTGGGAACCCTCATCAGATTTTTTTGTGTAAATGCTAAGTAGTGACAATGATATGCACATTCTGAGAATTAAAGCTGTTTTGCCATAATCAAAGCAACTCTGCTTGTAAATTGCTTCTACAACCAGAAGAGGCTGATACAGAGCAACCAGTGTAATAATGCTGTAAGTGTAAGGAAGCCTGGACACATCACTGGAAAGAGTTCTGAAATTCTTCATCCATGTTCTTAACATGCGTAACTTATATCTCATAATGTTTATTGCTTAGTATAATTTTGGTTACTGCCAGTCCTAAGGGAAGGAAGAAGTGATGCAAAAAATTTTGGAAACAATCCACTTCACCTTCTGATATTGCTGCTTACAAATAACTTCCAAGCTTCATGAAGTTTGTTTTTTGAATAGCATTTTTCAGAAGATTCATTTTTTTCATGGTGTCATACTCTGGCCTTATTTTATCATTCTGAGGGATTATAAATGCATATACAGCTATGAGTGGTGAATGGAAAAATTATTTGGGGTTTTGTTTTTTCTTGATAACTGGTTTCCCTACTTTAAATAATCAACATCTCAATTTACTTTCAGGCACTTCGATATCCTTATTTCCAAGTTGGCCAAGCACTGGGCTCTTCTCGCTGTATTCAGGAGGGAGGAAAACAGCAGAGAGATGTTCCTGAAAAAACGCAGATCCACATCAGACCCATTCCTCCTGCACAACTTCCTCCTAAAGCACAAGTTCGACTTTCATTCAGGCCCTTCCAGCAGAACCAGCCCTCTGTGATATATCCATATAAAACAGGCTCCTCGCTGAGTGACAATTTAAGGGAAGACAAGCCTAGCCAGGTGGCTTTGCCAAATATTTGCAGTAAGATGCCCCAGCAGGTAAGACTTTGCTTTTGAAATCTGCTTTAAAGATATATATGTGTGTGTGTTTGTGTGTGTTCTTTTGTTCAAATAGCTCTAATAGCCATCAGGGCTATATCATGGGGATATGGTGGAATAGATTTTTCCTCTTTGCAGCTATTTGTATCTCCCTTTAGAAGTTTGGCTTTTTTGTTGTTTATTTGGATATTTATTTCAGTACTAACACTAACAAATGGAGTACAAAGTTGCCTGAATTTTCTATTTAAAAACATGATTTTTTTTTCTAATGGAGAACCCATGTGTGGTCAGAATGAACTGGGCAAGTTTTTGTAAATCAAGTATTAATACTAGCCAGAGTAAGTTTAGTGAATTGGATTTGTTAATCAAAATTGTCCCAATCAGTCCTGATAAAAATTATCATTTTTAAAGATCTGAGTTAGAAGAATAGAGAAAGATTCACAGGTAAATCAGATTCTAGAAGACAATAGAGTGATACATACAGTACTAAAAGCCCATTCACTGGAAACTCTTCCAAACTTTGTTGGTTATACAGCAGGGCTCAACTTCACACTGTTTTCCTTCAGTTTTATATTTTCCATTTTTGTGATGACAGAAAACAGACGTTGGGACAGAAAAAACAAATTGTGAACTCAAACCAAAGAATCGGCGCAGATGGGGACACATTGCTGGAACACTGAAAAGCTCTGAGGATTGGGAGGATTTAGGAGGGTGTGAGGTGGCCAGAAATGATTTTAAAAACAAAGAACAGAGTGATGAAGCACTTTCCAGGCAAGTTTATTGTTTTAACCACTCTGTGTGTGTGTGTTTATTTCTGTGCTTGTGAAAGAGAGGTAGGCATGTTAATTGTTCTCATTCTACCCATTTCTTGACTCTTGTCTTGACTCATTTACTTAAAGGTTATTATCATTTATGCAGAAATAAATAGCGGTTGGATTCAATGTGATGTTTTCTGGTTAGACATGTTTTGAGCTGTTTTGCACACCTAATAGATTTTAAGGAGGCTTATTTCTAAATACCACATTTACTTGAGTATTATGTGCCATCGAATATAATGCACACCTCAATTTTGATGGTGCACATTACAAAAATTGAATCTGCTCTCCAATGTGATGTGCCCAACAGTGCAGGCATAGCATGTCAGGGAGGCTGTCGGCATGAATGAGGCCATTTGAAAAGCCATAGCACTCCATCAGGCCAAGGATGCCGAACTCGCCAGCCCATTGTGGTTCCCTATTGGCTTCCTTTACGAGGCCTTCAAAACTGATTGGGGAGGGGGGGGGGGTTGAAGGCCTCGTATGAATGCCATTAGGGAACTGCGTGGTACTGAGTCACAAAGATGAGAGATCTCGAGGGTTGCCCAGGAGGCAGCCTAAGTGGCAGAATGACTGGTTCACCAGCTGGTATTTCTTCTCCATTTCTGGGCGCCACTGCCACCAGGAACTTCTTCACTCCTCGTCCAATCCAAGCTCTAGGTCCCTCCGGATCTTTTCACACAGGCAGGTGTACATATACAATTCTAACGTGCCATTGAATCTAATGTGCACCTCAATTTTGGCAGTGTAATTAAACCAAAAAAGGTGAACATTAGAACCAAGTTAGGTAGGTTCCTGCTCTACACTTTACCCATTTCCGCCGTCTTTTGCTACTTTCTTGTACTAGCCCTGGTCCAGCCCTATTATACCTATTCAGCATGCCCTGGAAATAAATAGCTCCAGGCACTACCCTGGCCATGAGTTAGGGCCCTATGTTGCACTTTATCCACTTCCCCGGCCCTATGTGTCCCTGTTGGCCATGCCCTCTATAGCTGTGCAGCAGGCCTTGGAAATAATTAGCTCCAGGTCCCACTTTGACCATCAGGCAGGACCATGCTTGCATTTTACTCACTTCATTATATTAGCCCAGCCCCCTCGTAGTCATTGAGGCCCACTCTGGAATTCTGGCCATTGGAAGCTGAACTTGCCCAATGGAAATTAGTACTGAACTGGCTTTTAATTTTAAATATGTATGATTGTTATATAGAATTATGGCTATGTCTTATAATGACTACTTCGTATGTTTTGTGTCGGTAATAGCAATTGCTTTACCTATGCTGGAAACCGCCCCGAGTTCCCTTGGGGAGATAGAGCAGTATACAAATAAAAGTTTATTTATTTATTATTTACTTGAACCAAACTGACTGTAAACCATCTACTGTTTACAATGAGTCATTAGTTTAAAGCCACAAAACAGCTGCAAAAGCATTTTTATTGTGCCATGGCTTAATATGCTATGAGAACTATTATTGTCCAGTTGAGGTTCCTCTGAAAACAACTGAGATTAAAGCTGTGTGTAAAATTGCATCCAAGCCACCTATCTGATGTGCAGTTATTTGAAAGTGCAATGTACTCTTAGTTTAGTCTAACCCAGGTATGGGCAAACTTCAACCCTCCAGATGTTTTGGACTTCAACTCCCTTCAACACCTGGAGGATCCAAGTTTGCCCATGCCTGATCTAACCCAATTCAGTGAATGTTTACTGAGATGTAAATCCCACTTCTTTCACTGAGACCTACATCCAGGTAAGTGTATGTTGGACTGCAGCCTTAACCAACAACAGTCTATCACCTGACGTGTATGCTTTCCTTCTCTGTGCTGCTCCTGTAATATGGTAGACACTACCCTCTGTTGTGTGTCTTCTGTCTGATTTCAGTTGATCAACAACTTAAGCTTATTCAATATGTTTTTTGTGTTTGAGCATTGGAACATGTTATATTCGTCTGACTTTACATTAGGGTTTCTGAATTTGGCTGTTGCTTTCTTGAGAAGATGTATTGTATATTTTTTTTCTTTGCCTGGAATCAAACATGCAGCTATTCATAACCGACGAGGAAGTGTGTCATCCAGTATAAGCCATAGCTTTTGGTTTCCTGTTAACAGGTTTGAAAGTATTTTAGATCTGAAGCCTTCTGTTTGCCTTGGGACTGGGAATAGCGCACCTTCCTACCTTCGGCAGGACACGCCAACGTTACAAGTTTCTGCAGCCAAACAACATTATTTGAAACACTCTAGGTATTTACCTGGTTAGTAAGAGAAACCCATAATCTTTACTATGACATTTTATAAAATATGGAAATTATATTTTGATTTGTATGCGTAATTGACAGAGCAAACTTTTTATTCTTTCTGCTTTTTTGTGTAGGACTTTTGTTCTGACATTAATGATGGTCCTTCTTTACTATGGCCTGACTATGATTGCGGATAATGTGGTTTTATACTTGTAATTGCAGTGTTTTATATGTTTTAATGCTCTTAATCCCATTTAAATTTTTAATTGAAATGCTTAATTGTATATTGGAGATATATTGTTTTTTAAGGCATTGAATTATTGCCTATGCTGTAAGCCACCTTGAGTTCCCCTCGGGGTTGAGAAAAGGCAGGATATAAATACAGTAAATAAATAAGTATTCACAGAAATTCTTTGAGACAGTATTTTCAAAATGTTACATATTAACTCCATTGTTGTAAATAACATATTTAACACAACAAATTGGGATTTGAAACATAATCCTTACATTTTATTGATATTAATCAAATTGTCCTAAGTTATTGATTGGTTCTAAACACCTAAAGCAGTTTCTATATATTTTTGCATTTTTAATTTCATCAGTTTTGCAATAAGCACACTGAAGAAGGCTGCATTGAAAAGTAATTAATTGCTGCAGGCCATGTAAAGAGCTTCATTGGATCTAGTTCTCAATTTTTCATATCCAGGATCTTCATTTACCACAACCATCTCTTTATTCTATCTAGTCTTCCACTACCAATTGCCCCAATCATGTTCAACAAGGAGAACAGTTATGGTCCAGGAGCATTTACACCAGACATGGGCAAACTTTTTAACTTGGGGGCCTCATGATGGGGCCGGAGCGGGATGGACTGGTTGGGAGGAAGGGGGTTCTCCCCAAGTGCCCTCCCTTCCATTTCCTCCCCTTCCTCTTCTCTTTTGGAGGCAGAAAGTGAAAGAAAGACAGGGAACATTTGGATCCCAAAAGGGTTAGCCTTGGTCAGGATGAGGTGGTGGATAGGACAGAAAAAGTGTATCTATTAGACCCCGTATTGCCTACTCCTGATATAGAATCCTAGAGTTAGAAGATACCCCACCCCCAAGGGCCATCCAGTCCAACCCCCTGCCATGCAGAAGGCACAATCAAGGCATTCCCAAAGGACAGCCTCTGCGGAAAAGTCTCCAGAGAAGGAGACTCCACCACAGTCCGAAGCAACCTATGCCATTCTCCAGGAAGTTCTTCCTAATCTTTTCAGTCAAATCTCTTTCCTTGCCATTTGAAACCATTGCTCCCTTGTGCCCTGGTCTCTAGAGCGGCAGAAAGTCAGTTTTCCCCCTCCTCCTCAATGGGACACCCTTTGAAATCTTGAAACATGGTTCTCATGTTCCCTCTCTACCTTCTCTTCTCCCAGCTAAACATTCCCCAGGAGGAAAGGAGGAAGAGAAGGAAGGGTGGAAGGGAATGGAGTAAGGGAGGGGGGAAGGAAGGACAAAAGGGAAGGAAGGAAGGAGAACGAGAGAGGGAAGGAGGAAGGGAGGAAGGACAAAAGGGTACAAGTGAATGAAGGAGGGAGAAAGGAAAGAGAGAAGGAAGGAAGGAAGGAAGGAGGATGGTGTGAGAGAAGAGGGCCTGAGAAAAGAGCCCAAGGGGCTGCTTTCCACTAAACAAGTTGACCATACCTGCTTTACACTAAACAAGTGGATCTTAAGTTGTGTGAAATAGCTGTGAATTTGTGGAGCACGTTTTGTTGTACTGCTCTTTTTACCATGACCTTCGTAAACATTTTATAAATCCAATTCTAGAAAGTCTACCAGGGAGCTCTGCAAGGTTTTATACAGATTATCTCCTGTCTGACCAACACCCCAAGGTCACTGTCAGGGTGGCTAGCTTCTGTGCAGCAGCTATGGCTTGTCGCCCCAAGATGCTGACACAGACTTAGAAAGTTTTAACATATATTTTATCATTGGTATTTTAGTATTTAAATGTTTAACACCACTTTAATTGCCTTATTCAATATTGAGTTTTAAACTTTGTTTTAACATTGTTTCCTGATACCCGGATGTGTGTGTAACCTGATGCTTGTATACTTCTGTACTTGTGCTTGTACATGTGTGCGTACTCTGACACTTGCACACCCTGTCACTTGTACCTCTTTGATGCTGGTCATTGATCGTAATAAATGTTTATATATAGCTGTGAATTTTAAAATTGCAAGCTGGGCACAGTGCAACTTGTCACTTGTCAACAAGGCATGTTTCAGCCAAGTGAAAATGTTTTTCATATAATGGACAATTAAAAAATAGGAGGGCTTTTTATATTTTTTAAAGACCGCAAATAATTGTCATCTGTGTTCTCCAGCAGAACTGAATGGTTGTGACTTTCAGTTGCATAAGGTTTTTTAGCTGATAATGATACAAATGAATATTGCACTTAGCAAGGTCCTTTTCACCTTTAATGTTGCTATGAATCACCTCACTACTCTTTCAATATTCTAGTACACCTATGTTTTTTTTCTTCATTGTCGAGAATTGCCCTGACAGCCCCTGGTTCAAGGCTAGGCATTGTGAGTACCTTCCGTTGTAATAGGGCTACAACTCATGTCAGTCTAACCATAATATCCAGTGTTGAGAGATGATGGGAGCTGCAGTTCAACATCTGAAGGTGTCTACTCCTGTGCTTGGACAATATTCTGTGTACTGAGTATTCATTCAGGCTGATATTGTTTATTCATTAATTTCTGCACGTGGTTAAATCAGTAGAGAAGAGCTTCTGCAACACAAAAACATAGAGGGGGGTCATGGGAAGCAATATATAAAATGTTATTTGCAACATACTAACAGAAAATTGTTTCTTTCTCCAGGAATAAGCACAAGAAATAATTTAATGTCTGGTTCAAGCAAAGATTCCATTCCTTCTAATCCATGGCCCCCTTCCAGTTTGCCTATAAAGACATCAGCAGTCGCAGGAGGAATTGCCAGACTGAATTCCAGTAAGAAGTGTTCCTGAAATATTTCAAATGATGCCTTCAATTTGCTAAAATAAAATGGGGTAGTGAGAAAATTCTTTGTACAGGATGGTCAGGTACACGAAATCTGACAGGACCTTCCCAGATTCAGTGTGGCCTCCCTGGGGTTGAAAAACAAAAAATAATGACCTCTTATTCAGTGCCCAGCTGTTCTGCTGTTGCTGTTTGCAAATGAAGGACTTTTCTTCCATGGAGATGGTCAGATTCTTCAGGTTGTATTTCTGGTGACTAGACTTAACAATCTTGCTGTTTGTCTTCCTTGTCTTTTCATAAATTGCAGAGAGCTATATAATTATGATGAAAGGGCATGCTATACTTTCTGTTGATTGCCTGGTTCTTCTTGTTTTCAACTGCTTGCTGCACCATGCTTCTTATATTTGGGAAAATAATGGATAAGACAGATATAATGGCCAAGCTAATACCTGCTAATTGAAATAGAACTACCTGATGATAAATTCTTCATGTATTGTTACACTTTCAAGTCATGCTCAACTTGTTCCTGTACACTAATAGTTCTACATATGACTACAGCTAAAGGTAGAAATAAACTTTGAAGATGGTATTGCAATGATGCCAGATATATAAAAATATGAATTTTTAAGTGGTAGAAGTCTCATGGTGGTCACTTCAAATACTCAGTCACTGAAATGGTAGTTATTGCAAATGACTGTACAAATTCACATTTGGGTGTGCTCTCGTCATTAGCCCCAGCTTCTGCCAATGTAGCAGTTTGCAAACATGAGTAGATCAGTAGGTGCCGCTTCGACGGGAAAGTAATGGCACTCCATGCAGTAATGCCGGCCACATGACCTGGGAAGCTTCTACGAACAATGCCGGCTCTTTGGCTTAAGCATGGAGATGAGCACCACCCCCATAGTCGGACACGTCTGGACTTAATGTCAAGGAGAAACCTTTACCTTTACCGTTAGTTGCCTTAGATCATGATCTGGAAGTTGTATGTTTTGACATACAACTTCCAGAAATCCCAGCTAGGATTTCTGGGAGTTGAAGGCCAAAACATCTGGGGACCCACAGGTGAAGAACACAGGCCTTATATGAAAAGCTTACACATTAGAGGGGAAGGGACTATCTCTTCCAGCATTTCATGCATGGGGAAGTATTTTGATTTGTGGAGAAAATTCTGATCAGCTTTGATCTATTGCTGATTTAATGGTTTCACTGATTGCATGAGTTAGATTGACTTTGAAGTGATGCTAAATAAAAAAAAACCTAATCTAGTACAATAAATTTAAATTTAATAGGTGTTTCTTTTAAGAAAACAATTGTAAAAGCTTTGTGTAACCTAGTAATTATCCTTCATTGATCCCAGTTGAGCCTCTCTTTTCTTGTCATTTCTTTCAGGCCACACAGGGTCAAATGGGCTAACAGCTGCATATATCCCTTCATTTCTGAAAAAAGAAGTTGGCTCTGCTGGCCAGAGAGTTCATTTAGCGCCAATTATTGATCCATCTTCTCTAGACCCATCTTCTGGTAAGCTCTGTTTCTTTATAGAAATGGCATTCTGGAACACAACAATTGCACCACTGCACAAAAATCTAAGGGAAGTCCACAAATGACCAGGGTTTGTCCTAAGCTCCTGTCCTGTTCATATGACTTCAAATGAGTCCTTGTGAAACTAGCTTGGGAACTTGCTTCAGATTGTGTTATCGAAGGCTTTCATAGCCAGAATCATTGAGTTGTTATGAGTTTTCCGAGCTGTATGGCCATGTTCAAGAAGCATTCTCTTCTGATGTTTCACCCAAATCTATGGCAGGCATCCTCAGAGGTTGAGAGGTCTGTTGGAAACTAGGCAAGTGAGATTTATATATCTATGGAATGTCCAGGGTGGGAGAAAGAACTCTTGTCTGCTTGAGGTAGCTGTGAATGTTGCAATTGACCACCTTGATTCACATTTAATGGCCTTGTAGCTTCAATGCCTGGCTGGTTCTTGCTTGGTTGAATCCTTTGTTGAGAGTTGTTAGCTGACCCTGATTTATTCTTGTCTTGTCTGAAATTCCCCTCGTTTTTTAGTTTTGCTCTTTGTTTACTGTCCTGATTTTAGAGTTCTTTTAATACTGCTAGACAAATTTTGTTCATATTCATGGTTTCCTCCTTTTTGTTGAAATTGTTCACATGCTTGTGGATTTCAGTGGCTTCTCTGTGTAGTCTGACAGGGTGGTTATTAGAGTGGTCCAGCGTTTCTGCATTCTCAAATAATATTCTGTGTCCAGGTTGGTTCTCTGGTTGCCTTAGTCAACCAGAGAAGCCAGCCATTACAGAGCACTTGATGAACCAACCTGGACACCGCCAAGACACCACACTTGGAAGGCCATCATGCTCAGACAACGAGGGATTGTCTAAGTAAAGTCAAGTCATGGAGGGGTTGGGGAGAATTAATGAGGAGGGAATATTGTGGGATTCTGTGTTCTCAAATAATATGCTGTGTCCCGGTTGGTTCATTAAGTGCTCTGCTGTGGGTGACTTCTCTGGTTGAAGTAGTCTGCAGTGCCTTTCATGTTCCTTGATTTGAGTTTGGATGCTGTGTTTGGTGGTCCTATGTAGATTTGTGTCCACAGCTGCATGGTATACGGTAGACTACAGAGAGAAGCCACTAAAATCAGGACAGTCAATAAGGAGCACAACTAACTAACAGATCGGATTTTGATTCATACTGGTCGGTTTTTTATTAAATATGTTTTAGAGAGTGAGAAAGGAAAACAATACAACCTTGTTGGTCAGGAATTTTGGATTTTACATTTAGTTAATGGTTGGCTCATACATTTATGGCAAAGGAAAGGATACTCTTCAGGCCTTGGTGGTGGGGTTAAGAGTTTGTAAAATGTTCATTGTTTCATGTTCTGTTTACACTGTAAGCTGTTAATGTATGTAAATAAAAAAATAGGTTTTTTTTTTTAAAAAAAAGGAGTAACACTCAAAAGGCAGGGGAATTCTGAACAGGAAACGATCAGGGCCAGCTAAGACCTCAAAACAAAGGATTCCCCCAGGCAGGAAGCAGTGAGGCTTTGAAGCTGCAAGGCCATTCAGTGCTAATCAAAGTGGCCAATTGCAACATTCATACTTGCCTCAAGCAGACAAGAGTTCTTTCTACCACCCTGGACATTTCACAGATATACAAATCTCACAGGCCTAGTTTCCAACAGATCCCTCAACCTCTGAGGATGCCTGATAGATGGGGCAAAACGTCAGGAGAGCATGCTTCTGGAACATGGCCATACAGCTCGGAAAACTCACAGCAATATATTCCTTCAGAATTATCAATAGAGTACTTTAGGAAGAGTATCTAGTGATTAATGTTGCTACTCTTCTTTGCTACCAGTGTTAGCAAAGAAGACTACAGGCCAATGGCTACAAAAGAGCCGGAATATTTGTTTCATTTGATGTCATGAATTGTTCTGTAAGAATACACCCATATTACTTCTCATGCTATCTCCTCATTGCAGGTGATTCATTTCTTTTATTCATTTCTAGCATATACTTCTCTGAAGTCTGTGGGACCTTATATTGGAAGGACGTCTTTTAATATACCAGTCAAAAACACTTCAGGATTACTGCCGCATCCACCTCCAGTTCAACCAGTCCACGGACGAACTGACTGGTCTTTAAAATATGGCGCTCACCGTTGAATTTTTCATGAAAAGTGACAAATTAGAAGGACAGTCTTATGAGCTGGAAGCTCTATTCATTCTTATTTTCTATGACCAAGACATTTCAAGACTATTTAAGGCAATTCATTTTTGGTTGTATGTATTTGAATGCTATCTTGTAACATTTTTATATTGTTTTTATGATATGATGGGAACAATTTATTTTCATAGGACCAATACACACTTGTATATCAGCTTAGAATTGTGGGGTTCTCTGTGGGGTTTTTTGGCATTTTTGTATGACCAACTTTGAAATTTAGCTTTTTAAAAAGAAAACTATTTTTTCCTATTTTGGGTCAGTTTTTTTTATAAAATTGAATAAATGTAGCAAATTGAAGCAGTATTTAATATAAATAAATACAGGGACAGTTTCCAAATTTAAGGTGATATCATGTCACTCTGTGTTGAGCAAATAACCAGTTAGGTTTAATGCAGACATGGGCAAACTTTGGCCCTCCAGGTGTTTTGGACTTCAACTCCCACAATTCCTAACAACCTGACAGTTGTTAGGAATTGTGGGAGTTGAAGTCCAAAACACCTGGAGAGCCCAAGTTTAATGTCTGCCAAATTCCATAAATGTTTGCCCATCTCATTTTTGTTGTAGCAAAGCACAAAAGGGAATTTGGCACATTTCCCTCCTTGTGACTGAGAATTCTTAGAACCAATTCATAAAATCAACAGGATGGGAAGATTAATGATTTCTAGGATTGTACTCTTCAGGCTGCAAGTGATAAATGTTGGCTTGAAATGCCCCTTTGTATTCATAAAAGCAGATTAGCAAGGAAAATTGGATCCGTCCTAATTATATTTCTGTCCCTGACTTCTAGAGAAATTTGGAAATATAAATACTATAGCAACCCACAGTGATATAATCCTGGATAATCTTTAGAATGTGACTGTAACAATGGTGTGTGAACGGGGAAAAAATGTGTGTGTGGCCTTATCCATATGACACTTCATACCGAAAGCTAACTTCTCTTCCAGTGGAAAACTATGCCCAGCTATAAATAGAGACATCCTGCTTCGTTGGTAAGCAAGGCATTCTGTAGCGTAGATATTGGGAGATATTTAAAGCAATATTAAGTATGACAAAGCTGGTTCATACAGTAATATAAATGAGATATTAGGAAATGCCAGCAGCAAAGTTAAAAGATTTTTCTATATTCAACTTCCTGTTTTTATACTGTAGTTTTGGTTTTTCCTTCTCCAAAGAAAACTCAGTGGCTTCTGTGTGAGGCTTAGACAAAATTTGTCATTTGGATTATTAGTGGTCCACTTCCAGGAGTTATTTATGACACATCTTTGTGGTATAATTTTAGGAGACACTTCCAACCCATTTAGAAGTCAGTGTGAAAGTGTAGTAGATGTACAGAAATGTACACGATAGAACTATAAAATGGGAAATGATCTTAAAAGGGACAGGTTCAAACCTATGCATTTTGCAAGGAAAACAGCCAATTGTCTCAAAAGTAGCAAGGTTGCTGTGTTAGGTTAAGATGATGTTCAAATGCCATATCATGTTTTTCTTGAGAAAATAATATTGGGGGATTAATCTCTATGCATTACTACTCACTGGAAAAGTTCAAGACGAGCCTTTCTGAGGGAGAACAATCCCCAAAGCTGCATTGGTGGGCTTTGAGTCACCTTTTTCAAAGCCTTGTTTCATAGACATTCCACTTTGTCTTGAGCCATATCCTTATTGCTTCCTCTTCCTTTTGCACAAGGTAGAAGCTGAAAGAAGGAAGATTCAAACATGCGATAACTTCTTCCCTTTAGCATGGGTTCAGATGACCACCTGGATGGGATTATACCTTTCAGAACATTTGAATCAGAATCAAAAGCATATGCTTTTTGATATCTTATTTTTAAGTCCTCTCCTTCATGTCATTCCAGAATTTTTGTGGATTATTCTCTACCCTAAAACAATTACCTTTGTGGTGTCACCACATCTATTATTTCATTAGTTTTCAGTGAAGTTTTCCATTTCAGTGCCTGCATGAATAGCAGTTTCTCTTTTCCCTATCCCTTGGCTGTATTCAGCCAATATTCCCAGTATAAAGTCTAGGTACTTCATCACATTAGAGAATTAATCCACTTTAAATCTGGTTCTACCTTCTGCAGAATTCTGGAGTGAGGCTGTTAAGGGCTCCTCCCTAAACTACAAACCCCAGAATTCTGCAGGAGGCAGAAACCAGGTTTAAAGTAGATTCATTCTCTAGTGTGATGAGGTCCTTAGAAGTTATTTTAAGCAGAAGGAGCTCAAGCTATCCATAAAGGAATGGTGGCAGGATGATGGTTTACAGCTCAGCATATCATCCTACAACTGTTCAGGTGTGGATAGCATCAGCATGTCACTATTGTAAAGTTTGCTTTTTCAAAGTAGCTTTCCAAGCCCTGTTAGCATGTGAGGACTTTGGTGGCTGGGTTGTACAGAACGTTAATAAATACGCGGTGAAGCAAAAGAAGATTGAGCAGGGAAGTAATAACCAATGTACAGTGGATCTGAGGCAGAGCATTCATCTTTCCAATCTTTGGTGACATTGTTTCTTCTTTTTAAATCAGTTTAAGGAGATACATTTGAGCCATGTTCAGTTACGCGGTTCAATTTTCAGAAAGCATTCCTTAATAATTTAGGTACAATTGTACATATGATCTGATCAATTTATTATTAATGCCATCTTTTAATTTTTATATAATAATCTGATTTATGCATTGTTCAGGAATTAGCCTAAATAAAAATAGCATGAATAAGCCTTTACACCAGTGGTTCTCAACCTGTAGGTCCCCGGGTGTTTTGGCCTATAACGCCCAGAAATCCAAGCCAATTTACCAGCTGTTAGGATTTCTGGGAGTTGAAGGCCAAAACACCTGGGGACCCACGGGTTGAGAACCACTGCTTTACACCATGAAGAAGAAAACATATCATGTTTACTCTGGAGGACTATTTGGTTACAAGATGAGGGGCTTAACCAATTTGGCCCCTTTTCAATTACAGTTCCAGCCATTTCTCACTATTCGCTTTACTGTCCAGGGCTAATTGTAGGTACAGTCCTACTACGTCTGGAAAATGACCAGTTTCTCATTCCTAACTTAGAACGTGAGGGGAAAAAGATATCGCTCTTGCCAGTGATTAAAATAGTTTACATGCTCTTCAGTGTTGGTAATAGTGGCGTTTTGTTTGTTTGTTATTAATACAACCACAAGAACAGTTAGGAAAGAACAGTTCCATTTAAATTCAGTGGAGTTTCCTTTTGATGTAGCACAGAAATAGTTTTTTAAGAAAATCTCATGTAGCTGATTAGGTTTTTAAAATGTGATTCCATTAGTTCACAAATGTCCCTGAATGTTTAGTCACATGAAACTCTTTTGTCTGAATATCATTATATTCTGAGTCCTGATGGATTCCTGTGTTTTAAATCTGAGCAGAAATAATATGCTGAATTCCATAAAGGGCACACGTGCATTATAATGGTCTTACTTCCACTGAGTAACTTCTGCTAAGCACAACTAAGAATACTGTTTCACATTGGCAATGGTTCTGCGTGGCATTTCCTGTTGAAGTGATAACTTTAACAAGTTGGATCTTTTACTGAGATCCAACCAAAAGCAACATATCTTTACAATTTATCACGAGCTCAACATTTCCTTGTAAAATTATTAAGATGGTCCTTTGCCTGTTTTGCAATAATATCACAAGCCTTGCATGTGGTGCAGAATGCCTAGTGATTCAATTCAGCTTGAAAGACAATTACCTCTATATTCAATTGAGATATTCCCAACTCTTTTTTCCATGCAAGTTACTTTTAAATAATCTGCTATGAAGTGGAAACTCCCTCTAATCCAGTGGTTCTCAACCTGTGGGTCCCCAGATGTTTTGGCCTTCAACTCCAGAAATCCTAACAGCTGGTAAACTGGTTGGGATTTCTGGGAATTGTAGGCCAAAACACCTGGGGACCCACAGGTTGAGAACCACTGCTCTAACTTTGAAATGTGCTATCCAAAGTCTTCCCAACGCTTAAGACTTTGGTCACATGCATTCTTACATAGTAGGGCTGGGCGGTTTCGTTTCGTTAATTCGTAATTCGTTAAAAATTCGTTATTTTTTTTTTTTGTTAACGAAGCAATAACGAACCATTCTGGAGCAACTTAAAAATGAAACGAATTTTTCAATTCGTTTCGTAAATGCTTCGTATTTCGTTATGTATTCGTTTCGTTATTGGTTTGAGGTCGTTTCGTTATTATTTCCGCATGTCTGGGGCAAGTTTTATAGTTGTTTTTGTTTAATTAGTGAAAAAAAATTATAATATCACACCAACAGTCAACAACAGAGGGAGAGGGAAGCTTCAGAAGTTTTTTTAGCGTATTGCGCGATCGCGGCCGCCATTAACGAATCGATTCGTTATTGTTTCGTATTGTTTTGTAATTTTTTTACCATTTACGAAATTTCGTAAATATCGAACTTTTTTTAAGGAAAAATCGGAATTCTTTTAAATATCAAAATGCAAAAACCCCAAAAAACGAATCGATTTTAGAAACAAATTTTTCCATTGTTACCCAGGCCTATTACATAGGATCACATAGTAGCTGCAGAACTGTTTCTTCATTCAATGGATCTACGCTGGCATAAGCATTTGCTGAAGTTTACACATATTATCTGCTCTGTGACTATTTTTACAAAACTGTCTCATTTTTCTATCAGTGTTTAACTCACCTATACAAATACACCACTCTTTGTGGGTTCTTGCATTCAAGGAATGTTTTATAAAAGCAAACAAACCATAGTCTGGGGCTGAGTCAAATATGTGCAGAAGATAAGTATTGTGTTAAATGTGAGTCAACGGGTATAAGTGGGAATTGAAACCCCGGCATGTTTTCTACTTTGTATCACTTGTGAGGTTTAAAAACAAGACACTCATTTTCCTTTATGTTGTAAGACTCTTTCCCCAAATAAAGTTGTTTCTAAAAACCTGCTTGGTTTGTCATCCTTCCTGCATTCACTAACCTATTTCCGTGACCTAACCATTCTAATTTCCCCCTTGTGAATAGCAGAAAAGTCATATAATACATTTTATAGGTTTGTTTGGTATTAGCTAATAATGGAAAATCACCCCAGGTAAGCACTTTTCATTATATACTATTGCGATAACTTCATCTGAATAGAATCAATAATTTTCCTAGTACCGCCAATTTTGGCAAGTCACAATGACCAAGGTGGGAGAAGGAAACTTCGCTCAGCTCATGGGGTCCTCATCTGGGCAAAAGGAGTAGGTGGAAACTAGATGTGATACATTACTTAAGAATATGTATTAACATTAATTTTTGCCATGGATAGGTGTGGTTAGGAGCAGTCTTGTCGTGCGTATGGATACCTTAGGTGACCCAACACAATCTGGATACTGAATACAAAGTAAAAGGAGATAGCTGTCGGTTACAGAAGTGTATGACAATATATACTATGTGACAAGTCAGGTATGTTTAATACACACCTATTGACTTTATTCTTGTTCACCTTCAGGTTGCATCAGATTTATGGTGACCCCATCCAAGAGTTTTCTTGGCAGGAGGTTTGCTATTGCCTTCTTCTGAAGCTGAGCAGCTATGACTTGCCCAGGGGCACCTACAGGATTTCCATTGTCAAGCAGGGATTCAAACCCTGGTTCACAGAGTCTCCATCCATTACTCAAACAAGTTCTTTAGTGGAGCTGGTAATGTTAGGCTTTCAAGTTTGGTTGGCTAGGCAACTGGTTAGACATGGAATAGATTATACAATACTGCCTGAAGTTGGTTGAGGATACTTGTCATACCATGTACATTCATGGTTCCTCATCAAACTGGAGGAAGGTATTGATTGGTACAGGTGCAATGACTTGAATGATCTTCAAAATTTTGGTGAAGGGGTGAAAAATAAGGCTTTCACAAAATTGGGGATAGCATTATAAGATAATAACCACATACGCATGAAATTAAAATATGATGGAGATGAAAGGTTGCCATAGGGTAAATGCTTATGGATGCAGAAAATATGAAATTGATGTGAAAGAAGAATAAAACCAGGAGCAACCTTCTGCTGCTGAAGATGAACCACCTGTTTTAACTGGTCAGAGAAAGACATTTTCTTAATTTCCACTAAGTTAAATGTGGTGTCGCAGCGAGTTGAACTTGCTGACCAAAAGGTCAGCGGTTTGAATCCAGGGAGCAGGTGAGCTCCCACTGTTAGCCCCAGCTTCTGCCAACCTAGCAGTTCAAAAACATGCAAATGTGAGTAGATCAATAGGTACCACTCTGGCAGAAAGGTAACAGCACTCCATGCAGTCATGTCCTAGCAGATGTCTACAGATAATGCCAACTCTTTGGCTTAGAAAGAGAAATGAGCACCACCTCTCAGAGTTGGACACAACTAGACTTAATATCAAGGGAAAACCTTTACCTTTAAGTTAAATGTGGTAATATGTTATTGGATTGGACTGGACTGTTACTATTTTACATCATCACAGGACCAGGATGTCAATCCCATAGATTCCATGGAATTTATTCTTACTGTTTGTTGCTGTATTTGTTGTATGCTTCCAAATCATTTCCAACTTAAGTTGATCCGAAGGCAAACCTATCACATTTTGTCTTGCTGTTTTACTGTCCAGATGGTTTGTATTACTAGTCCCTGAATCCCTAAACCAGAAACCTGTTTTTGAAACTCTGTGATCTCTTACACATCCTAAATGTGTAAGGCTGAACACCAAAACAAAATTTTAAATAAATTTTGAAATCTGCTAAGTCACAAAGAGCAGTGTATCACAAACAAATCCCTTTGCAACTGACACCTGCCACTATATTTCCCTTGACCTGTCTTTCTTGATAAATAGAAAAATGTTGACAGTGGAATTGCCTTTGTTTAGAAGCTGCAAGGCCATTCAATTCTAATCAAGGTGGCCAATTGCAACACTCATACCTGCCTCAAACAGACAAAGAGTTCTTTCTCCCACCCTGGACATTCCTACAGACCTCACCACCTCTGAGGATGCCTGCCATAGATGTGGGCAAAACATCAGGAGAGAATGCTTCTGGAACATGGCCATACAGCCCAGAAAACTCACAGCAACCAAGTGATTTTGACCATGAAAGCCTTCGACAATACATTGAACAACAGAAATGCTGTAAACATCTACTGTACTAACCAAATGTTCAATTAAAAAATAGAGATAAAAAAGTATTTTATTTCTATTTTTAGTATTTATTTCCCCTCTTTTGAAAAGAGGGGACATAAAACCAAAAGAAGAAGAAAAAGATACATGTGGCTGCTTTTTTTATTCATGTTTGAATACCCGCATAATTTATGTACAAAGTAAGGGAGGAGAATTGCAAACGGCACCTTGCTTATCATAGAATCATAGAGCTGGAAGAGACTCTGTGGGCCTTCCAATCCAACCCCCTGCCAAGAAGCAGGAAAATCATATTGAAAGCACCCCAACAGATGGCCACCCAGCCTCTGATTAAAAACCTCCAAAGAAGGAGCCTCCACCACACTCCGGGCAGAGAGTTCCACTGCTGAATAGCTCTCACAGTGGGTTGTTGTAGGTTTTTCGGGCTGTATGGTCAGGTTCTAGAAGCATTTTCTCCTGACGTTTCACCTGCATCTGTGGCAGGCATCTTCAGAGGTTGTGAGGTCTGACCTCACAACCTCCGAGGCTGCCTGCCACAGATGCAGGTAAAATGTTAAAAGAGAATGCCTCTAGAACAGCATTTCTCAACCTGGGGGTCAGGACCCCTGGGGGGGGTCACGAGGGGGTTTCAGAGAGGTCGCCAAAGACCGTAAGAAAACACAGTATTTTCTGTGGGTCATGGGGGTTCTGTGTGGGAAGTTTGGCCCAATTCTATCGTTGGTGGGTTTCAAAATGCTCTTGGTCATTGGTGGGGTTCAGAATGTCAAGGTCTATTTTCCTCAAACCCCAGTAGTGTTTACATTTGGGCATATTGAGTACTCATGCTAAGTTTGGACCAGATCCATCATTGTTTGAGTCTACAGTGCTCCCTGGTTGTAGGTGAACTACAACTCCAAAACTCCATGCCCACCAGACCCTTCCAGTATTTCCTGTTGATCATGGGAGTTCTGTGTGCCAAGTTTGGTTCAATTCCATTGTTGGTAGAGTTCAGAATGCTCTTTGATTGTAGGTGAACTTTAAATCCCAGCAACTACAACTCCCAAATGATGAAATCAACCTCCCACACCCCACCAGTATTCAAATTTGGGCGTATCGGGTATTTGTGCCCAATTTTGTCCAGTGAATGAAACTACATCCTGCATATCAGATATTTACATTACGATTCATAACAGTAGCAAAATCACAGTTGTAAAGTAGCAATGAAAATAATTTTATAATTGTGGGGTCACCATAACATGAGGAACTGTATTAAGGGGTCACGGCATTAGGAAGGTTGAGAAAGATTGCTCTAGAACAGGGGTCCACAAACTTTTTAAACAGAGGGCCAGGTCACAGTCCCTCAAACTGTTGGAGGGCCGGATTATTATTTGAAAAACACATGAATGAATTCCTATGCACACTGCACATATCTTATTTGTAGTGCAAAACACACTTAAAAACAATACAATAATTAAAATGAATAACAAATTTTTAACAAAGATAAATTTATTAGTATTTCAATGGGAAGTGTGGGCCTGCTTTTGGCTGATGAGATAGGACTATTGTTGTTGTTGTTTGCTTTCAAGTCATTACAGACTTAGGTTGACCTTACGCGAGGGTAAATGATCTTGGAAGGCCGTATTTGGCCCCCAGGCCGTAGTTTGAGGACCCCTGCTCTAGAACATGGCCAAAAAACCTATAATAACCCAGTGATTCCGGGCATGAAAGCCTTCGAGCTCTCACAGTGCATCTAAACTAGAGAATTAATGCAGTTTGGCACCATTTGAGAATTGTAGTTTTACAGGGTCTGCCAAAGACTGCTGGTTTCTCACAAAACTATATATCCCAGGAATCAATAGTACAGAGCCATGGCTGTTAAAGTTGGTGCCAAACAGTATCACTTCTGAAATGTAAATGTCTAAGGATGTGTCTGGGTGTGGGGTTAGACATCTTGTAACCAGTGAGATTTGCAGTTTCACCTAAGCCCGATCATTATGTTCCCCTTTTCCCCTTTGGAACAAAGAACACAAAGAAAAACATAGCACATGGGGGAAGAAGGATGAAAACTGACAAGCTTGAAAGCTCTTACTGTATTGTGTGGGTGAAAAAAGAATGGCAGACTGCCCCATGCAGCGCCTGACTTGGATGTGTCTGGAGTCTTGGAAGCTTGACTACCCTACGTTCTCCTACAAATGGACCTTGAGCTTGTTTGGAGGTTCTAGCAGGGGAGCGCAGCTATCGTAAACCCGGGACCGAAGACTGGAGACCTCGGTACACTCCTTCTATACCTGGGACGTCGTCCTCTTCCACCGAGCGCGCAGCTTCGGGAGGGACGCACATGGAGCGGTGAGGGAGGAAGGGGACACCCGCCTAGCCAGCCAGATCAGCCGAATCAACCCTGGCGATCAATGGGGTGACAGATGTCGCAGCCAGATCGCCCTCACATCCAAAGTATACTAGCAAGCGCATCCGTATATAAACCTTTCTAAATCTCGGACCTCTTCAGTTACAGTGACTGCTACTAGGGAATGTCAGTATTTATTCCTGAGCAGAGAAAAGAATAAATAAAAACTAAACACAATGAGAAATAAAATTCTAGTTTTTTAATTTCCGGTTGAAATCCTTTCTAAATCGGCTCTGAAAGGAATGCAAATCAAGGTTCCTGTTATTGGCTGAGTCCCCTCCGCTTTGGCCACGCCCCCTTCCCTCTCTGCCTAAACTAGAGACGGAGGAGGTGTCTCCCAGCATTACAGTGAAGCTGTGCCTATCTGTGTGTGAGTCTCTGGATTCAGCGTTGCTTGAGGTGAGTTGCCTGCAGACAGCAGCAGAGGGGCGGACTGAGGCACTGTGATGATGATGATGATGATTAGGTAAAAGGTAAAGGTTTCACCTGACATTCATTAAGTCTAGTCATGTCCTATTCTGGTGGGTGGTGCTCATCTCCTTTTCTAAAAAAAAGAGCCAGCATTGTCAGTAGACATCTCCAAGTTCATGTGGCCAGCATGACTGCATGGAGCACCATTCCCTTCCTGCAGAAGCAGTACCTATTGATCTACTCACATTTGCATGTTTTCGAACTGCTAGGTTGGTAGAAGCTGGAGCTAACAGAAGGAGCTCACCCCGCTCCCCAGATTAAAACTTGCAATCTTTTGGTCAGCAAGTTTGGCAGCTCAGTGGTTTAACCCACTACACTATTATTATTATTATTATTAATAATAATAATAATAATAACTAATTATTATTATTATTATTATTATTATTGGTGGCGCAGTGGGTTAAACCCCTGTGCCGGCAGGACTGAAGACCTACAGGTCGCAGGTTCGAATCCGGGGAGAGGCGGATGAGCTCCCTCTATCAGCTCCAGCTCCTCATGCGGGGACATGAGAGAAGCCTCCCACAAGGATGATAAAACATCAAAATATCCGGGCGTCCCCTGGGCAACGTCCTTGCAGACGGCCAATTCTCTCACACCAGAAACGACTTGCAGTTTCTCAAGTCGCTCCTGACATGACCAAATTTTTATTATTATTATTGTTATTATTATTATTATTATTTATTATCAGACTGGATGGATGGCCCTTGTGGTCTCTCTCTCTCTCTCCCAACTCTATAATTCTAAGCTTGTTAGGATGCCTGCCATAGATGCAGGTGAAACGTCAGGAGAGAATGCTTCTGGAACATGGCCATACAGCCTGGAAAACTTATAACAACCCAGTTGTTATTGGTTTCTTTCCTGGAGGATAGTGGGAGAAGCCCCTTCCCCTCCAAACTTTGCAAATGGGGTGTCATTGAAGGAGTCAAGGTATGCTAGAATCCCCTAAGATACACCTTGGATGGATTCTGCAGAGAAGAGACTTCTGGCTCTAAAGAGACCCTTCTGATTCATTCAGGTGGATATTATTATCTCACCATCTCCATCCTGAAAAGGATGATCCAGGGTTGCTGCCCCAGGATGCATTTACACTATAGATAGAACGAATGCAGAGCCCAATACTATAGAATCATGGGAATTGTAGTTTTGCAAGGGTTTGCTTCCCAAAAGTGCTGGTGCTGTGGGGAAAGGGCTATGGATGTATTGTCAAAGTCTTTCATGGCTGGAATCACTGGGTTGTGGTAAGTTTTTTTCGGGCTGTACGGCCATGTTCCAGAAGTATTCTCTCCTGACATTTCGCCCTCACAAACTCTGAGGATGCCTGCTATAGATGCAGATGAAACGTCAGGAGAGAATGCTTCTGGAACATGGCTAAACAGCTCAAAAAACTATCAGGTCTGTTGGAAACTAGGCAGGTGAGGTTTATGAATCTGTGGAATGTCCAGGGTGAGAGAAAGAACTCTTGTCTGCTTGAGGCAAGTGAGAATGTTGCCTTGATTAGCACTGGATAGCCTTATAGCTTCAAAGCCTGGCTGATTTCTGTCCCGGGGCAATCAGGACCAGCTAACACCTCCCAACAAAGGATCCCCCAGGCAGCAATCAGCCAGGTTTTGAAGCTACAAGGCCATTAAATGTGAATCAAGGTGGCCAATTGCAACATTCACACTTGCCTCAAGCAGACAACAGTTCTTTCTCCCACCCTGGACATTTCACAGATATATAAACCTCACTTGCGTAGTTTCCAACAGACCTCACAACATCTGAGGATGCCTTCCATAGATGTGAGCAAACATCAGGAGAGAATGCTTCTGGAACATGGCCATACAGCCCAAAAACACAACAACCCAGTGATTCTGGCCATGAAAGCCTTCGACAACACATCTAACTTAAAGTTTCTTGCAACTGAAAATGTATACAATGTATACACTTGTGTGAATAAGCATAGTCCATGAAAAGCATAAAGGTTTAAATGCACCCCTAAGAGAATGCAGCTTTCACCCACTTAAAGCTCCTTCTGCAGCAAGTGAGGTGAGTTGGCAAGGACCTGCCGAAGGAAGGAAGGATGGATGGGGTGATAGAGTGATAGATATTCCTAGCTGCAAAAAAGACAACATGGAAGGAACCAGACTGAACTTAGGGGCAGCAACTGAGAAGGACTTAGCCACACTTTCAGAAAGTAGTTCCTCACCCCATCCTAATTTCAGAGTCAAGTAGGCTTGTGTGGGAAGGAGTAGAGTACTCTATAGACAGCTAGAACTTTTTCAAACAGTCTTTTCTTTAAACTTTGGCACCATAAAACAAGATTGCAGGCTAATGGGTTTGTCCTTTAATTGCCTATCTTTTACTGCCCATGGCCAAGTAGG